GGAAAACAACAAATGGAGGCTAAAGTCAATTTGTTCGAGCCAAATACTAGTAAGAAAAGGAAGTACCCGAATAATGGCAACCAAAAGAGCAAGGCCAAGAAATTCAAAGGAGATTGCTATAACTGTGGTAAGCCTAGTCATATTGCAAAGGACTGCCGGCAGAAAAAGTAAAACAAAAAGGACCAAGTGCACTTGACTGAAGAAGACAGACTATCTAACGGAATGTCTGAACTAATGTTCTCGGCTGTTGTATTTGAAACAAATATGGTGGATAATCTGAGAGAATGGTTCGTTGATAATGGCGCTACTCGTCACGTTTGTGCGGATAAGGAGATATTTCATCTTACACTCCTATCAATGAACGACAACTCTTCATGGGCAATTCAGCAACATCAAAAGTTATTGGTCTAGGTAAAATAGTGCTGAAGATGACATCAGGGAAAGAAGTAACACTCATCAATGTGCTGCATGTTCCCGATATTCGCAAAAACTTGGTATCCGGAGCTTTGTTAAGCAAGAATGGGTCTAGGCTGGTATTTGAATCTAACAAGTTTGTACTCACCAAAAATGGTATGTTTGTAGGCAAATGGTACTTAGCCAATGGGCTATTCAAATTGAATGTAATGCCTGTACTCCGTGATTTTGATATTAATAAAAATAAATCTTCTACTTACTTGATTGAGTCTTCTAACTTATGGCATGATAGGTTAGGACATGTAAATGTTAATACTTTACGAAGATTAGTAAGTTTAGATTTATTGCTTTCTATGTCCTTTGATCAAAATCATCGATGCGAAACATGTGTAGAGGCTAAATTAGCGAAAACACCATTTCATTCAGTTGAAAGGAACTAGAATCCTCTAGAACTAATTCACAATGATATTTGTGATTTAAAGTTTGTACAAACTAGAGGAGGTAAAAGGTATTTTATTACTTTTATAGATGATTGCACAAGGTATTGTTATGTCTTTTTGCTAAGGAGCAAAGATGAGGCTTTAGAAATATTTAAACAGTACAAAAATGAGGCTGAGAATCAACTATGCAAACGAATAAAAATAGTTCGTAGTGATAGATGTGGGGAATATGGAGCACCGTTTGATGAATTTTGTTCAGATTCTGGGATTATTCATCAAATTACAGCTCCTTATTTACCTCAATCAAACGGTATTGCGGAACGCAAAAATCGTATTCTAAAAGAGATGATGAACGCTATGTTGGTTAGTTTTGATTTACCACAAAATTTGTGGGGGAGAAGCAATTCTCTCAACTAACCACATTCTAAATAAAGTACCACACAAAGGTAGGAACGGAACTCCTTATGAGGTATGAAAATGTCATAAACCTTCGTACAAATACTTAAAAGTGTAGGGGTGTTTGGCTAAGGTACAAATACCAAAGCCTAAACAAGTTAAAATAGGGCCTAAAACCATCGATTGCATATTCATTGGATATGCTAATAACAGTAGTGCTTATCGGTTCCTCATACATAAGTCTGACATTCCGGATATACATGAAAATACCATCATTGAGTCTAGGAATGCTGTATTTTTTGAGGACAAGTTTCCTTATAAAGATAGGAAAGAAATAAGCCCCCAAGAATGAACTTATGATTCTGCAATTAGTAATCATCAAAGTAATGAAGAACCAAGACGCAGCAAAAAAATCAAAACATCTACATCTGTTGGTCCAGATTTTTTAACTTATATGTTAGAAAATGAACCTAGGACATTTAATGAAGCAATGTCTAGTCCAGAAACTCCATTATAGAAATAGGCTATTAATAATGAAATTGATTCTATTATGCAGAATCATATCTGGGAATTGGTAGATCTCCCACCTGGTAATAAACCATTAGGTTGTAAATGGATTTTCAAAAGAAAATTAAAAACTGATGGATCAGTTGATAAATATAAGACCAGATTGGTAGCTAAAGGATTTAAACAAAGGGAAGGCCTTGATTTTTTCGATACATACTCACCTGTAACAAGGATAACATCAATTAGAGTATTAATTGCAATCGCAGCATTGCATAATTTGGAAATCCATCAGATGGACGTCAAAATAGCTTTCTTAAATGGTGAGTTAGAAAAAGAAATTTACATGAAACAACCCGAATGGTTAATCACTCCGGACAGGAGAAAAATGTGTGTAGACTGTCAAGTCATTATATGGACTAAAACAAGCGCCAAAATAATGACATGCAAAATTTGACAAAACTATGTTGTCAAATGGTTTTAAGATTAACGAATATGATAAATGTGTTTATATTAAAACCACACCTAATGCATATGTAATTGTATGTCTATACGTTGATAACATGCTAATTGTGGGTAGTAGTTATGATATGATAACAAATACCAAGAAAATGTCGACAAAATATTTTGACATGAAAGATATGGGTATTGCAGATATAATATTAGGAATTAAAATTTTTAAAACATCTGAGGGACTTGTGATGTCTCAATCTCACTATATTGAGACTGTACTTAAAAAGTTTAATATGTATGATAACAGTCCAGTTAAAACACCAATAGACTTAAGTCTACATTTGGCCAAACATTAAGGCGAACCCGTATCTCAATTATAATATTCTGGATAATAGGCAGTCTAATGTACATTACCAACTGCATTCGTTCGGATATTGCATATGCAGTAAACAAATTTAGTAGATATACAAGTAACCCAAATAATGACCATTGGAAAGCACTGTTAAGGGTTGTTAGATATCTACGATACACCTCAAATGTTGGATTACATTATACAAGATATCTAGCTGTATTAGAAGGATACAATGATGTTAATTGGATATCAGATACAAAAGACTCAAAATTCACTAGTGGGTATGTTTTTACCATTAGTGGTGCGGTTGTATCTTGGAAATCCTCTAAACAAACATGTATAGCTCGATTTACAATGGAATCTGAATTCGTAGCTTTAGATAAAGTTGGAGAGGAAGCAGAATGGCTTTGAAATTTTTTAGAAGATATTCCATGTTGGCCTAAGCCTGTGCCTGCAATTAGTATACATTGTGATAGTCAGTCAGCTATCGGTAGAGCACAAAGTAGTATGTATAATGGTAAGTCTCGACATATTCGTTGAATACATAATACAGTTAAGCAGTTGATCTCAAATGGTGTTATTTCCATGATTATGTAAAGTCTAGAGAAAATTTTGCAAATCCGCTTACCAAAGGCTTACCAAGAGATCAAGTATACTGCCTATCAAGGGGAATGGGCTTAAAGCCTACTACATAAGAATCTTTGTAATGGTAACCTAACCTTGCTGACTGGAAATCCCAAAATCTTGGTTCAATAGGACAGCTAAGTTATGAAGATTCAAATAAGCACTTCGAAGTTAACTCCTACCCATTCCTATGATAAGGAAGTGCTATCTGCAAAAAGTTTTAAGTTAAGTTATACTTTTAATGATTCCTATATCTTGGGCTACCTAAGTGGAGCATGGCAGGTACTCTTAATAGGAGATCACCTTTACAAGTATGAAATGTGGCCGCTTCTATAAGAATGTTTCAAAGGCTTGAATTCTCTAAAGCACTTATGAAATCCAAGAGTTGTTCAGAGCCAAAATGAACACAACAGTGAGAACTCGAAAATGTTAGGAAGGTTATTGTGTTGATACTATTGTCTTGGTTTACAAAAACGGCTGACAGTTCAAGACACCGCGTTCACTGATTAGCCAAGTAAATCCGATAGTATTCTACTACGGAAGGTTCAAACCCATAACGTACCTATCCAGATGTGATAACATTCTGCCTGATTTCTCTATAGGGTCTGCATAGTCTATTGCATTAATTTCCATTCATGTGGGGGATTGTTGAAAAAATTAGGTTTTAATTAGTTGGTTTCACCAACTTTTGACCAATTAATTTAGTGGGTCCCATTAATCGGATATAAGATTTCTTTGGTCGAATGTGTTCTACTCCATGAGTAGATATTATGGTATATTTATTTTCTCAAAACCAATTTAGGGTGAATGAGAAATTAGGGCTAAAATATACTCACTTGATGTTAAAATAAAATAGGTGAGAAATTGAAAAATACCAATCCTACATAGGAAAACTAGAAGAATATAAACCACCTTATATAGCTCAAGTTTGAGACTTGGGTTTAGGACCCAAGGGGTACCAATAGTCTTTGAGGGGGTGAGAACCTACATGCTAGTAGGTTAAGCCAAAGCTCACACGTGCGCGCCGCCGTCGCCGTCCATCCGACCCGTCGGCACGACATGGTCGTGGGTCTTGGGCTTGGGTCAAGCTGATATATTTTTTTTTTGTAAAATAACATTTGAATTATATTATTTTATTATTAATATAATAATAATATATTTTATGTTAATATTTTTTTCTTCCCCGAATTTTCTGTGTGTGACACGTGGTGCGGTGCTTTTAGAATTTGGCGGGTCGTGACGGTTGACACTTTAAGTGGCGGTTGACTGTCCAAACTGTTTGTGTGTTTTGGACACAACTTTTCGGCAGTTGTGTCTGTTAAGACACAACCTTTCAACATTTATATATAGGCCCCATACCCCAGTTTTAATTCATACCAAAATCAGAATTGATTTTCTACTCTCCCGAAATTATCCCTTTGTCCCTGCATCATTTTGCTTTTATAATTCAGTTCTCGAAAATTATTTTTCGTGCATTTTAATCATCCAGTGTGTGTGGAGAGATCTAAACTTTATGGGTTCGTTGGGTTTTGTAATTTGGAGTACTACTATTACAAGACGAGGTCGTTGTATCTTGATAAACGAGTGCTGCAATACCGTCAGTACCAGTGTGGGATATTATCGTTTTAAGAAGAAAGAGTCGAACTCTTATTTCGACCATTCAAAATCATCCAAACGTCGTTACTCTGTCCAAATATATATTACGATGACACTATTATTTGCCTATATTTTCCAACAGTTTATTTCTCCTCAAGAATCCATGATGGACTCTAATAAACTCAAAAAGTATACTACAAGAAAAAACAAAGTAAGAGAATTTCTAGTGCAACAGCGAAACACACATAATCATGTTGACACACACACAATTGGCCTTCCTTCCAAGCAAATAAAAGCTACCTATCTGGCCCTTAAACTTTCCTCTCTTCTTCAACACAACTCCAACTCAATTCAATTCAATGGCAAACAATTTATTACTTATTTTCTGTCTCCTCTTCTCCGATACGATTCAACTCGGTTCAACATTGCCGGAACAACCGAGTCAAATCAACTCCAACTCTATCCTTGTGGCACTCTTGGACTCCCGCTACACCGAACTTGCGGAGCTCGTGGAGAAGGCCCTTCTTCTACCAACACTAGAACAGGCTGTTTACACCGGTAATCTTACTATTTTTGCCCCTCAAAATGAAGCCCTCGAGCGCGAACTCGACCCAGAATTTAAGCGGTTCCTGCTCGAACCAGGCAATATCAAGTTCCTTCAGACCCTCCTCCTCCATCACATCCTCCCCATTAAGCTCACTCAGGGAAGTTGGCCCACAGAACCCACCGAGTCAACTCGGCACTCTGCCCTTTCTAACGATCTTGTTGAATTTTCATGTAGTTTCAGTTCAAACCATTCGCAGGTTACTAATAAATATGTTGGTGCTGTGAAGGTTGTACATCCAGGCTCCATAGTTCGTCCTGATGGAATCATTCATGGAATAGAAAAAGTAATAATCCCAAAATCCGTAGAGCACGCATTCAATAACAGACGCAGCCTCAGATCAATTTCTGCCTTTAAACCAGAAGGAGCCCCAGAAATTGATCCGAGAACCCACAAAATGTTGTCAGAGAAAAAGGCAAATTCGGTACCAATCGATGCTCATGCACACTCCAAATTATCAATATACGAGGCCATGGCTCCAGCACCATCCTTAGCTCCGGCTCCGGCCCCTGGTCCAGGTGGGCCCCATCACCATTTCGACGGCGAGAGACAGGTGAAGGATTTCATTCAGTCACTCCTCCACTACGGCGGGTACAATGAAATGGCCGACATTTTGGTTAATTTGACAAATCTCGCTACAGAAATGGGGAAATTAATCAGCGAAGGCTATGTTTTGACAGTTTTAGCTCCAAATGATGAGGCCATGGCAAAACTCACCACCGAACAATTGAGCGAACCTGGTGCTCCTGAACAGATAATCTATTATCATATTGTGCCGGAGTATCAGACAGAGGAGAGTATGTACAATGCGGTGAGAAGATTCGGGAAAGTGGCATATGATACGTTGCATGTCCCACATAAGATTTTGGCTAAAGAAGCTGATGGGTCGGTGAAATTTGGCGATGGCGAGGACGCAGCTTACTTGTTTGATCCAGATATTTACACAGATGGGCGAATTTCAGTTCAGGGGATTGATGGGGTGTTGATTCCACCGGAGGAAAAGAAGAAAGCGAAAATTGCGAATCAAAATGTTAAGAAATTCAACAAACCAAGAAGAGGTACGTTGAACTTTCTATGATTATTTTTTTTTCTAGATTTTTCCGGTGGTGGAGGTAATGGTGGCCGGAAGGTTGTAATTGTGGCGGCGGTGGAGCCGTGAGGTGATGAATCGTGTGACGTGTGACGGTGTCGGTGGGCGAGGGTAGAATTGTCTATATTTGCTTTATTACGTGTTTGTTGCTGCATCACCTGGTTCATTTGTTGGGACATACAGTTGATGATGTAATAAGAAAATTTTAAAAATATAATTCATGAATAAATCAATATAGAGATTTGAGAAAATTTGTCAATTGAAACATTAGCCCATGGGGATTAAACTTGGGTTTTATAAAGATTTTGATTGATAGAAATTGACGACACTTGTGGTTGAAAAGTTATAGATCCTATAAAATACGTGGTTAAAATTAATTATTGACTTTAATTTAGATTAAAATTTGAATTTTAATTTATGCTAAATGAGATCTAAAAGTATTGTATGCCTTGTGACAAAAATCTTTATACCTCAAGATAGAATCCAAGAAATATTGGACGGCGAGTATTGTTATTCACCAATGTCTAGTGAAGTATGTTTGTAGGGACACTAAATAGTCAAACCGACTCGTAGGACCAAGAGACTAGCATACTTGGCCCATGTGGCGTCGGCTCAATCCCCATATAAATCTTATGGCATAGGCTCAGTTCAGCTTACCAAGTTGAAAAAGGAGACCTGGTTAACCTAGGCTAATTTAAATTCACGCTCAAGCCACTAGCGGTCTGAGCTCTCTCAAGCTAGCGATCCCTCCTTTAATGACCCAAGTAAAAGGTGGAAATTTTTGTATTTTCTTTTTTCATTTAAAGTGTCTTAATATATGTATAAAGTATTTGATTTAACCTCATAAGTCCATTTTCAAGATACTCTCTTTTTAAAGACCATATTCTATTATTTGAAGAGCATTTATAAATTTAAAGAATTAAAATTTTGAAATACTCCATCAAACTCTTTATATTTAACACTTATTTTTATTAATCGAAAAAAAATTTATTATTTTTCTCTATATTTTATTTTAACTAGATTTTTTTTAAATTATTTTATTATTTTCTGACATTAAAAATTGAAACACTTCGAATACATTTAAAAGAGTGGGTTTTTTGAGAGCCAAACTCATTTAGTAAATTATAATGTTAATTTAAAAACCCTTTTAGAGCATGATTTAAGATTTGACTCTTTAAAATAGAAAGCATTTCATGTTTAAATAGTCTATTGGATATGCTCTTATAAATGAAACTCACACACCCCGTAGACCTTGTAACTAGTCAAGGAATGGGGGTATGAAGTAGGAAATGGTTGGTTCAACCTTCGGGTTTGGTTATGTTCAGCATTAGTTAGAGTCTCTCTCTTTGGCGTCAGTGTGAACTTTTTACAGTATAGAATATGGTACTCCAAATATAGAATTGACAAAGGGATGGAACAATAGAAATTCCAACCACCCTAAACAATTAGAAAATTGGTTCTGGAATCTAATTGTCCAACCAAATCGCAAACATTAGTATCTCTCAAGCTGTCCTACTCTCTTACCGACGTGCATGTCTACAATCGTATTTATTTGTTAATACCATCACTGTATATGTTGACCACACAAATGTAGGGTACAATGCAATTTCTTTAATGATATTAATCTTTTTATATATACATATAGTATTTGCATGCCTGCAATAATTCTTTGGTCCATGTCCAATTATTAGACCCAAACATTGAGTCAGAAACAACACGTTTCAGAACAAGTTGGATATAAATAACTAGTAGATCTCAAACTAAAATCTTTCTCAATTCTGGCTTACAGATAACCGTCCGATCGACTGACTCTACAATGATGAATGAATCAAGGAAATTTACTTTGTATTTTGTTGCTAGTTGTGCTTATTTTAACATGTTTTCATTAAATACATGACCCATAATGGTTAATATTTTACAAGATCTCTTCGCCTTATTTTATTGGAGGCCAAGTTTTCATGAACTGGCAGTAGTTATGACATTATTCCGAGGCATTTTTTATTTACTTGGTTGCATAAATTAGTGTTGACTCATATATATATGCACTCTTGGTACTCTTAATATGCAGGGAAATTGCTCGAAGTAGCGTGCAGTTTGCTCAGGGTGTTCGGCCAAGATTCCCAGTTAATCAAATGCCAGGAAAAGTAAGCTGGCGTTCACTAAGAGCAAAAGGTAAAAAATTTACATCTTGATTTTTAGCATACAGACCCGAACTAAATTCGAATTTTCATCTGTTCGTGCGATGTTAAAACAAAACATTTATATGGTTGGATGCTTTGTCTAATTGTGTTGCTGATGCAGTCATGCAGCAATGTCATGTGAACATTATCACTCTTAATTTGCTCTCAGTATCACCGTGAACACGTACAGGTTGTGCTTGGTTTATGAACAATCACTTCATCTAAAAGTTTAAGCTAGTTAAAAAAGGGGGGACACTTATATTTTAAAACTTAATTTTCAACACGGCCCCTCACGTTGCTTCCATGTTATTTTTCATCAAAATCACAATTTCGTTAATGGGCGGTAACGAAGTAAGACTCATACCATCTTTGATAACATGCTGTACCACTTCACCCAAACTTATCTTCGACATTATACCAAAATAGCTTATCCTTTTGAATGCTCTATTCTCCACATTCATCTCATTTCTGTGAAAATTCATGAAGTTTGTTTAATCAATTATGGCTTGATCATAAACTTCTATTTATTGCAGGCAGATCAATAATGTACACAATCCTACTTCAATAATTGCTTTCTTCTTGATAAACCAGACAGAGCTGTGGATTTTGCGATGGAAAAAGATAAAGAAAAAGACTCGGCCATTGTAGTTGCACAACGTATTGGCAGCCTGTATTTTGTGTATAGTCAATAATGCCGGTGAGGGATTCATGTTGTGTGTTTCAGATGAACAGGGGAATTACATGGTGGTGGTACCTAAACCAAACTCATAAAAAGTTTTGAGAAATTCACTGGGAATAATCAATAATTAAATATCCTTTTTTATGAATAGGGGCAGTCAAATGATGTTATTAAAGCACGTGCTTCCAATATAAAAACATAAATATGATATTCCAAATAGTTATAAAAATGAAAATTGTATCAAATGGTAAGGTTTCATGGCTTAAAAAATATTTAAAAAACACATATATATCATGATTGTTTCTTAAAAATAAAAATAAATAAATAAATTCTTTTCGGAAAAGGGGAACTTGAAACAAAGTCAACCTCTTATCAATTATTAATGTTCTGTCCAATAGATGTATGTATCTTTTTCTAGCATAAACCAGATGGATGCTTGATTTTATTGGTCTTGAACATTGGTTCGGTTTCCATAACGTTATTCATCTTTCATCTTACTCATGCGTTTATCCCTTTTTTTAGAATAAATCTGATTGATGATCGATTTTTTCGGTGTAAATCATTCGTTCAGTTTTAGTAACATTATTTCTTTTTAAAGTTATAAGAAATTTTTTCTTATATATTAGTATGACTCATCGAAAACAGTTTTTAATTATTGGACGATATAAAACTATCAAAAACAAATATTAATTAATTAATGTAATATTTCAAATAACCTAAAAGAAAAATGACTCGTTTCTTGAAATTATTCAAATTATTTTCAATCATGCATTATCTCATAAAATAATTTTATACATAAATTATTTTTTTCTTATTTTTAACTACATATTGTTCAAAAATTATTATTTTAAAACATATTTTCTTCCAAAAATGAGGGTTAAACAAAGGCTAAATAAATAGTTCTTGTGAATTTTACTATATATAGTTTTGACTTTGACATTTAGGCCCCGTTTAGTATACATTAATGTAATAATGAGAACTAAAAATATAATCGTTATGAGCCTCACACAAGAGATAAAAAGTTAAATATGGCGGCTTAATGTAATAAATAACGATTATATTTTTTATTTTAATGGACAAATAATGAGAAACAAACGGGAGCTTAAACAAGCGCTTTAATTGAGCTTCAGTTATGGAAAAAATTATAAATTATTTAATTTATAAATAAATAAAAATAAGCTACAGATCATGAATATTATATGTAAATCAATTAAAATGTATGATTGAAAATAAAATTCGATAATTTATAATTAATTTACGAAATTTGTCAAAAAGGTTGAAAAGAAATTATAATCTTTAACTAATACAAGCATTAAACAATCTTTGCACTCGGGGCATAGCCTAGTGGTGCAAAGGGATAGGAGTGAGGTTATCACACGCTTTGTTGGCAATCGCAGTGTGAGGTTCGATTCCCGAAATATGGAATTGGATTCCTTGTAGGCGCAGTGTACAGGTAGTTCTTGTTCTCTGACCTGTTGAGGTACATTCCTTGATTTACTTTCTTTACAAAGCTCTAAGCACGGGACGGTGAGGGCCTCAAGGTTGGAGTTCAATTTTATTTATTTTTATTAAGTATAAAACAATCTTTCAAGCTCACACGTTACTCCCCAAAAAAGTTAGAAAGAGGGGTGCTTTTACACAGTATCCAATTTGAGGGCAGAAACTTTATAATTGCACAATTGAAGACTTTATACATTCGCTGCGGGAAGGGAAGGCAAAAACGATGAAGATCATTCGTAGAAACCTCGCACCCGATGGCCCGGGCAGTGTAAAAGTGATTTTTCCCCTGTAGTTCCTTCAAGAAAACTTCAGTTTCCAATTAATAATTTTTTTGGTTGAAATAGCAATAATTTATTTTTTCTCTTATGTTTTGGTGTCTGGGTTTTGCCGCAGATGGTCCCAGAAGAAGCAGATGATTTGTGGATGGCTTATAATCTGATTGCCGAGGGTGATACCGTCTTAGCTGTCACCGTCAGGTACCTTTTACTTTCAATTTAAGATTTTTCCTTCTAATCGTTATACGAATTGGTTTATTCCATGAATTTTGCTGTTTTTATTTGGGACGTATATGGCTTTGCTCGAATCATTGTGTACATTTTTTTGTGTTGTATTGAAAACGTTTCGAAATTGGACAAGAAGGGCCTATTAGCGCTGATTTTTGTATTTCATATAGGGAATTTTTGGCTAAACTTCAACTTGATCTTGTGAATAGAGCATCTAATTGTGGGACCTGAATATGTTGTCTTTGAAATTCGTTGTAGGAAAGTTTTAAGAGAAGCTGCTTCTGGAGGAAGAGATGCAGAAAGAGTAAAACTGAAATTGGAAATCAAAGTAGAGGTCAGATATTTTCAAGAACTTCAATAGTTTTTTTAGCCTAGTGTTGCAAATCGTTATTGCACTCTGTCATTCATTTATGCAAAGAGTGAAAGAAACTAGGACACAATCTCCTTCTCCCTGAACAGAGAAAAAAGAACCCTTGACTTCTCTCTTGGGTGATAGTCATCAATCAATAGTTTTTGGTGCGTTATTTTCTCCTATGTAACAAGAAAGCAAAAGTTATGGGTATACATGCAATTTTTTTATTTTTTTTATTGAGAGAATCTGTGGTTAAAAATGAGTTTGGGGAAAAATGAGTTTTAGAAAATGGGGCCAAACATTGCCTTATTTTACCACGAGTCGGGAGTTGGGAGAATTGAGGATTCAAGAAACATGAAAAGGATTTGAGTCATGGGATCTCTTTATATTTGCTATGACTCATAGCTCAGTGATAATCGACCAAACAATCTAGTATTTTCTCCAATTTATAATGTTATTATGCTTCAGTTTCATCATCTAATTCTTGGTTCCGTGCTTTAAGGTTGACTGTATTCAGAATTTTCTCTAATAGATCCATCGATTGAACATATTGACCAATCCAAACTTCAGATCTCATCTACTGTTTATGTTTACTTATTGATTAAATCAAAATCTATAAAACAATTAGACAAAATTGTTTTTTTCGAATGTTATAAATCCATGCAGCTGGGGGTGAGGCTAGAGTTGTGCATCTTTGACGTATCTAGAAGTTTGCATTAAGCTACCGTACAAGACTGAGGTTTTGTGACAAGACTTTCTTGAAATTATTCTTAGACTGTAGAGTATGACAAAGAAGGATCTGTCTTACGTATACGTGGGAAGAATATTCTGGAAAATGAATATGTGAAGGTGCGTAGTTTTTCAGTTTGTTCTTTTTAACTAGTGCATTTCTTTGCTCCTGCAGTAAAAACTATAGTTTTATGCTGCAGATAGGGGCATTCCACACCTTAGAAATTGAGCTACACCGACCTTTTGTGTTGAGGAAGGTACTTTTTGCTCTTAATTCTATCAAGTCTCTTGTCATTCTCTTTTATAAATTATATTCAGTTGTTTGTTAGAATATTTGGCATGCCCTTATGATCATTTTGCATTCTATGGCGTTATTATAAAGAGCACGGTCTGTGTATAAAAATATCAGTCCCTTTATAATTATCATATTATATTTTATCAAGCCCTTCTCATTTTTATCTGCTGCAGTATGTTTGATTCTGTTTATGGTCTCCCTCATCCTAACCCTCAGCAATGATAAAGGAGAAGGGAAAAGAAAATCTTTGGCCTTCCAACATTAATCAGGCATCCATGTTGGCTATCATGATAGCAAGTTGAATTATCTTTGAATTTTATCTGGAATGTCAGCCATGGTGTTTGTATTGTTTTTGAAGAATGTATTCTTTCATTTTTACCATTTTGCTCCTTTTGTCTTCTCTGAATTTATAATTTTACTATTCTTCTTGCTGAGATTAGCAAACTAGGTCCATATAAGAGACATTTATGGAACTATTGTTGATGCCTCCTTCCTTTGGATTTTTCTGGCTCTGGGAATGAGTGATTGATCTTGTTAGTGGATGTGTTTTTGATTATTTAGGCCTTCCTATTAAGGAATGGGATGCTTGTTGAAAGTCATTTTGAGGCGTATTAGGCTGTTTATAAGCTAAAAGGAGGAAAGTATTCTAAAGTGACTCATGGAAGGTAGGAGCTTAGATCTTCGATACTGGATAGATGAAAAAATAATCGTATTCTTCCTCCTTAAATTTTTATTTTGTGGTCTGGTATTTGCATTTCCCAATGTGATGATGTAAAAATCTTAGTTTCTTCTCATTCTGAATAGCTGTTAATCCGTAATACGTATCGGACTCAATTATATATTGTACTTACAGTGGGTGTTAATCAATTATGTTTTCCATATTGCCATGTTGATGGTAGCTTTATGACCAATTCTGTTTATTTGCATCTTACCCCCCACTATATCAAATGGAGTTGATTGACTAATTAGGCTTCTTATTTGAGTTTTCTGTGATGTTTGCTAGGAGTTTTGGGACTCACTGGCCTTGGAGGTGCTCCATCAAGCATCTGGTATGCAGTTATCCTTAACTCCATGTTTATGCCATTGTTATCTTCTTCTGTTTTTCACATTTTGTAATAAGTAGTTTCCATCTTCAGCTTTAGGCACAAGTGTGAAAGCTATTACATATTCTTGCTATCTCATTAAATAATTATTTTCTTTTCTAATGAATCTCCTAAAATAAACTCTTTGTTTTGATAATCTTCTTTTTTCCCTGTCAAACGCGATTTTTCAAATAACTCTTACTTTGTCCAAAATTAAAGATGAACGAACTTCACTTGAGTTTGGAAATCAAGAAAAGGGCTTAATAGTAAATATAAAGTAGGTCATATTCTCTCCCTATTTTCTTCACTTCTACATCTAAGAATATTAGAGGAGCTGAGTTTTACATGGACGGTTAATGATTTATGTTCTGTTTTAATAACCTTACAAGTTATGGATGTGGAGCACAAGCTAATGCAAGGGCTTTGGATATTTATTTATTCAATTTGACATAGCCCATAGTATTGCAAAGGCATCTATATCATCTTCATATAAAGCCTATGTTTGAAAAACATCAAAAGTAACTTAAAATTTTCTTTGAACAATCAAACATAATACCCACAACTACTACCCACTTGTCCGCTACTTATTTCTATCATTGTAACTTATAATTTTATCTAAACACAATGAAATATGTCACATTTCATTTAAGTTCTTGTGTCATGTATTTTACATTTGACTAAGCTCATGGATGATGACCTTACATGTTGCATCCATGCTTCTCTCTTTAAAGATGGTATCTAGAACATCAAGAAACAAACCAAGTACAAGATTTGACCTCATAGATAAAGAAGAATAGAATGCACAACTTAGGGAAATCAAACACTTGCAGAAACGTTTATGTTGAAGACAAAATTTAAATGATCTTTTAGATGACATGGTTCAATATGGTATTAGAGCATTTTGGCTTGAGTTAAATAATCTTCGTCCCTGATCTCCAAAAGGTGGCCTTGTACCATTTCGTTCGTCGTCTTTCATCTTGTTTGGCCACCTTTATTTCTTTTTGTTCCTATGCAATTTTCCACTACTCATCTTTACCCCCTTTATCTGCTGGTTTGCTTTGTGTTAACTTCTTTCCTGGTGGTGTACAACTCTTGCTGGCATTTAGTTCGGGCACAATCCAATGATTTCTTAGGCTCTTGCTTGCTTGGAGAGCCTTTGCCAATTATTTCCAAGGTGAAGGTAAAGACCAAAGATCCCAAATCAACAAATACTTGAATAGCCTCATGAAGCCACTCAAAATTGATGCAAAGTGCATTTGATATAGGAAATCGGTCCATGATTCCAATGCTGCTTCGACTGAAACCAAATTAAGCCAAACCCATCAACTAATCCTTGTCCCAGTACCTTTTTTAACTTTCTTAACCAATTTAAATTGTCATGGGCCTTTCTTGTCTTTTGGGCTTTGCGGATTAAAAATTTTGTCGCTAAATTTTACTTGGTTTGTTGTTTATTTGTCGAACTGTTTGGAAGAAAATCTTGTCTTGACTTCCACCATGTTAATATCCAATACGTATTTGGTCTTAGACTCGTCTGGCACCTGGATTCTTGTTATGCCTGCCGTTTTCTTCATCAACAAGTGTAGTGCTAGTACAATTCATGGACATTCGTAGTGCTTTATCATAGGCAGGCCTAGATGTGATAATCTGCACAATTATATAATTTTAACCTTGTTCATCGTAATTGTGGGATGTGTCCCTGATGGGGATTGTAATAGATATGATATTGAAGACTTGCTAACTTTAGACTACTTCTGTCTAGTTTATTATAATTTTCTATTTTGACTCAAGTTAGGGTTTTTATTTAAGTTTTTTTCCTTATTTTCTTTTATATAGACTAGTTAAAATCATATTTCAAGAGGGTTTATGAATTTTAATAGTTAGACTTGTTACTGAATAAAAATGCAATTTATCCCTCCCACTTTGTGCTTCTCTCATCTGTTCATCTTCCCTATTGTTACTCTCTCTCTCCCCTCTTTCTCCATCTTTGTGTCCTCTTCTCTTCCCTTTTCCCTTCTACAATTCTATGACATGTTTGATTGTCTTCGTTGTCTCTCGTGGATAATGATTTTCTTTTGCACCAGCTTTTGGGTTTTTGGTTGGATTAGTTGGCAAACATTACAATTATGGATCATTTTTTTTTTTAATTTCCAAACTAAAATTAGTTTCTACAACACCATAGAGTTCGAGGAGATGTTAAAGACATGTCCATGATGTTTTCCTTTTGCTTTAATCGATTTAATTTCCAAAACTCAAATTGATTTCTACAACACCATCGAGTTTGAGGATATGTTCAAGCTATGTCCATGATACCTTCCCAATTTTGTGGTATTATTTCCTTAGCAATTGATTTTGTAATTATCTCACAATATTTTCTTTTATAACATAACATTGGATTAAGCAAAGATCCTGAATTAAAGTTTCTCTGTCGTCCATTTAGCCTTGTTTGACAACCATTAAAAAGAGGTTTATAGGGAAAATGAGTTTTGGATCAGTGATTTTTTGTAGGATATCTGGTTAAAAAGTATGAAAAAAATTTGGTTTACGTGCAGATTATTTTATGGTGAGAATGTGGTCGAATATGAGTTTGAGAAAAAAAGAGTTTTGTAAAAATGGTTGTCAAACATGGATTTAATGAAATTTATGCAAATAAACTCTTATGGGAAAAAATGAAACCCAGCTACATGTGTGGGGACTTGTTAAAGGAAAAATTAAATTATGCACATGTGGCTCTCTCTAATCATTTGATGTTTTAGATGAATTGGTTCAACTTCAATTGTCTCGATAGCAAAGTGTTATCTTGACGCACATTGAACATCTTATGGAGAGGCTTGGATAAGCTCTACATCTAATGTATAATAGAAGTAAAGAGGAAGGGAAATATGGCATAATATATGCTATTCATTATCTATAATCCCACATCTGCTATTCATTATCTATAATCCCACATCTGCTATTCATTATCCATAATCCCACATCTAACAAACAATAAGAATAAAAGAGGGAAGAAAAATTTAGCTCAAAAACTATTAATTATCTTTAGTCCCACATTGACGAGTGAAACCAGACTAAAGGGAGGAAGTGGATTGTCATATATATGAGATTGCTACACTTGGTTACCACTTACTAATGTGGGTTGGCTTCTGCTGAGAAGATAGAGGATTAAGTTCTCCACTTCAGTTATGCTGTGGAAACTTTGGGCTTAAACTCAGTTTTCAATTGCACAAAATCAGCTTTGCTAATCCAATGGATCATCTAAGTTAATCTCTACCATTCCCTATCACTAGGCATGGCTTTCTGAAACTTCTTGTGTCATTTTAAGAGAGGTAGCAGAAGAACATACTTTATGATGATAAGCAGTCTAACAAGTGCGAAAGAGTTTTGGAAATATATAATGTGTGACATCTAGGCAACCAATAATCACGCTGTACTCTGGATACCCATAATAAATGTGCATACTGTGCTATCCATTATCCATTATAGGTGTGCATTTCGTGTTTTTTAAAATTTAAGTGTGTCTACTACAACCTTTCTCCCATGTGACACTACTCTTTTTTACGTAAGGAAAAAAGAGAAGAAAAAGAAATAAAGAAATGATATCAGGCTTAATTCATCTCATCTGTTTCCCTGGCAATATTCTGCCAAGATCCTGTGGGGCCTTGATGGTTTGGACTGACATTTACAACTTGTGTAGTTGTCCAGGAGTTCTTTCTTTACGTCTTCCTAAGTAGACTGATTATGCATTAGCGCATTTCCATAAACCAGTTTTGACTACAAGTTTGTTAATTATAGCATTTGAAATCTAATGACCTCAGATCCTACTGCGAGTGCTGATCTGGCTGTTGTTCTGATGCAAGAAGGTCTAGCGCATATTTTACTTGTTGGCAAAAGGTATTGCTGCACATTATGAATATATGATTATGATTTACTTTTGATTGATTAATCACAATAGGATGCCCCATTTATGTGAGATGTTTTGTAGATTGTTCACAGTCAGTTTCCAAGTTAAACTTTTGTCGTATGAATTTGGTTATTTTACATACATGTTGAACTGGACATTCCATCATTTTTGTCTGTGCACAATAGTTGTCAGAGATAGGTGGATATATCCATGTTAAAACTAGGAGTATATGTGAGCATCTGGTTCACAAAGATTTACTATGTGAAATTTGATTTTGTGGATTTATGGTTGCAAGTGATTAGGTGTTCGTTGCTTTGCTTTGGGTCTTTAACACCATGCCCACTAAGGAGTTTTAACTTTTTATTGTGTATGAGAACCTGATTAATAATTTTAGTCATTTGGTTATTTTAAGTAATATTTGGAAGGAAATTTTTTTGGGTAACCTCAGTTTTATGTTCTAAGTGAATTCAGAAGTTTTCGGGTAAGATGGTCCATTAGAGTTCGTAAATGGTTCTTATAGCTGGTTGCAAAAAGAGATAATATCATAATTTAAAACTGGAAGTAGGCCTAGAGACGGACTTTAATGTGCCAACATTTTGGTGATCTAGATTGATCCTCCCCATGGAAATGTTATTAGAGTTTGTTTATTGTACTTTATGTTAGCTCCCCTATTTAACATTCAAATGGTGGTTAATGTGTCAACAGTGTGACCACCACTCGTTCTCGCATAGAGACTTCAATACCTCGCAAGCACGGACCTGGTATAGCAGGCTATGATAAAGTATGTTTATTAGTGACTGAATGGTGTTGTTCTTTACATTGCTTGTTTAATTAAGGCCGCAAACTCTATATGGAACACTTACTGGAATTGGTTTCTTGACAGGCCTTGAACAAGTTTTTTGATAATGTCTTACAGGTTATCTCAGCCTAAGCTGTTTGTATTTACGTTTCTTTTTTTGAGATAAATACAGAATTTGTAATTGATTAACAAATTATGGTCAATCTCTTGTAGGCATTCCTTAAACACATTGATTTCAAGGTGGTTCGTTGCGCTGTCATTGCAAGTCCAGGGTTCACTAAGGTCTGTCATTTGGAATCAGCAAGCTTTGCTTAGACACTTATTTGTGTCTCTCTCTCTCTCTCTCTCTCTATATATATATATAGTATTTGAAAGTCATTATTCGAGTTCTTCAGTATTTAGCTGAAGTAATAATTAAGTTACCTGTTGTAATAATGGATTTGGAAATTATTATCATTTGTTTTCAGGATCAATTTCACCGGCACTTAATGTTGGAGGCAGAAAGGAAACAATTAAGATCTATCATTGAGAACAAGTCGCGCATAATTCTTGTGCATACAACCTCTGGATACAAGTATGACATTAGTCTCTCCACACTCTCCATCTTCTCTTGCTGTTGTATTGTTGACTTCTTATAACAGTTTGTGGTTGTGTCTGATGCAATTGTTTGAATAATGGTTTGTAATGCATGTGGATGACTTGATTTATTTTTACTAAAGGACATCAGAATCTAAGAAACAAGAAGATAAATTGACATACAGATGTTTACCAAATAACTTCGCAATCATCCAAAGAAACTTGGAAGCTTGAGCATACATACGTGTGTTGAGGATGCATTTGTGACTATCTTAGTCTTGTTCTGGAGATTCAATTTTGCACATGTTGATTTTTATGCAGTAAGGATACTGAGGTATGTGTGCTTTGGGCAAACAACGAAGTTACAAAGTGAATTGGCATTCATCAGTGCATGGGCTTTGGAAAAAGAGTTGCATGCTGATAGGATTCCACTAGAAGAAGAATTAAATCTGTTATTGATTGCTGAATGCAATACAGGGAACTACAAAGAAAACAGTGAATAGACGAGACTTCCTTTCATTCGATATTTGCCTCCCCTAATAGTTATTCCTCTACTGTTTATATAGACCCTTCAGCTCAAGTAACCGATTCTGTTTAGCCACCCTTTTCCTGCCATTTGGAGCTACCACCTTCTTATGCCTTCTCGAATAAGTGTATCTAATGGAGGGCTTATCATTACCCCTGGTTTCCAAACACACCTTGTCCTCAAGGTGGAATTCTGGAAAGTGCTGGACAATCGAGGTTGTGGACTCCCAAGTTGCTTCAGATGCAGGCAGTCCTTTCCACTGCAGTAATACTTCTTGTCCAAGTGGGTAACAGTTAGATGCCTGACGTGTTCACAAGACCACCTTTGGCTCCACTATCCATTCTAGGTTGGCATCTAAATGTGAGGGAAGCTACTGGTTAGCCTCTTGTATGTATGGAGAAACACCAAGTGTCCCTTAAGTAAGCTACTGTGAAACTCGCTTAACACGGCTAGTATCATTGAAGACGAGCGAGGAAGTACTAAGCGGCCTTTGAACAAAAGTCCGCCCTGTTCTAGTGAATAACGGGGATGTGAATCTGGGTTTGCTTGTAATTCCTGTTTCAGTTTTGAGAGCAGAGGGTCTCCATCCACTTGAGCACTGATTTTCTCTGGACATCCAGCATTTCGGGAATGGGAAGGGCAGAGAGCTCCATAGGTGAAGATATGCGGGACAGCGCATCCGTTGCTCTGTTTTCCAAGCCTGGTCTGTATTGTATGTCGAACTAGTACCCCATCAATTTTGTTACCCACCTTTGAAATTTTGCTGGTATTATGTGCTGTTCCAAGAGATATTTCAGGCTCCGTTGATCAGTGCAGACGATGAAGTGTTGACCCAACAAGTAGTGCTTCCATTTTTGAAGAGCTAGTACAATGGCCATTAATTCCCTTTCATATACTGACTTTGATTGTGATCTTGATGATAACACCTAGCTGAAATAAGCTATTGGCCGTTGATTTTACATGAGCACTACACCAAGTTTGTGCCCGAATGCATCTGTTTCCAGGATGAATGGTTGTGAAAAATCTAGCAAGGAGAGTACAGAGACTGTGGTTATAGCTTGCTTCAGTTTCTGAAATGCCGCCTTCGCCTCTGTCGACCACCCGAAAGCATCCTTCTTCAGTTGTTGTGTAAGAGGCCATGAAATGGTGCCATACCCTTCCACAAACCGATGATAGTATCCTGTCAACCAAAGGAACCCACGGAGTTCTTTCAAATTTCGAGGAGTTGGCCACTGTATCATAGCCTCGATTTTCCTTGGATTCACTGCTACTCCATCTCCGGAGACCAGATGCCCTAGATACTCAACTTGTGTTTGTGCAAACTTGCATTTCTTCGCGTTCACATACAACTAATGCAAAGTCAGAGATGAAAATACCAAGTCCAAATGTTGTCCGTGTGTCTCAAGGTCATTGCTGTAGATCATAATGTCATAAAAAAACACCAATACAAATTTTCTCAAGTAGTTCCCGAATACCTGATTCATTAACGATTGGAATGTAGCCGGTGCGTTGATTAGACCAAAAGGCATTACCAAAAACTCGTAGTGTCCCTCGTGAGTCCGAAACGCCGTCTTGCTAACATCCCTTTTTTTACTCGAATTTGGAGATACCCTGATTTCAGGTCTAGTTTTGAGAATACTTTAGCTCCATGAAGTACGTCCAGTAACTCGTCTATCATTGGAATGGGGAATTTATCTGGAACGGTGGCTTTTTTCAATGCTCTAGAGTCCACATAGAATCGCCAACTCCCATCCTTCTTCTTGACCAATAGTACAAGGCTCGAGAAGGGGCTAATGCTAGGTTGAATGATCCCAGCCTTCAACATCTCCTGTACCAACGGCTCGATCTCATTCTTTTGGATGTGTGGATAACAATAGGGTTGAACACTAACTGGCTCAGTCCCTTCTTGTAGGTGGATGGGATGATCAATGTCCTATGCCGGGGGTGGGGTCTTTGGGGCCTCAAAAATCTGTTGATGCCTTTTTAACACCTGAGGATTCCTGCTAGTAGCCCAGCCAAATTGTTATCCTTTTCGGTAGATGCTGTCAAACTACCCAATTCCACTAGCATGCCTATCTCTTCCTGTTGTAAGGCCTTCATCAGCGTTTTTAGAGACACCCCCGATTGGCTAAGCTTGAGGTCACCTTTTAAGTTCCTCACTGCTTCTCCTAATTTAAATCTCATAATGAGTGATTTCCAATTAACCACCACATCCCCCAAACTACTCAACAATTGCATACCTAATATAATGTCGGTGTTCCCAAGCTGTAGAGGCAAAAAGTCCTCAATTACAGCCAGCCTTTGCATCTCCAACTTCACCCCCTTGCATATACCCACCCCTTTTACTGATTTCCCGGAACCCAATACCACCCCCTAATTTGTGGTTGCTGTGGTAGGAATCCCCATCTTCTGGACCAACTCGAGGGATATGAAATTGTGAGTTGCCCCGTTGTGCCTTCCACCTTCATCGTCCCTGAAGTTGTCAGTCCTACCATCGAATTAATTGAAAGCTCAACCTTCTCTGTTACCTCTATTGGCGCCTCCTTGTCCTCAACGTCCTCTCTCTCTCTCTCTCTCTCTATAGTCGTCGTCCTCCACCAGCAGTACCCGTTACTCCTTAGTTTTGCATTGATGGCCCATCGGGTATTTTTCATCACATCTAAAACACCGCCCTTATCCTTTTTAGCTTGCCATTCTGCGTCAATCATTCGCTTGATTGGGAACTCTCGTCGATGAATCGTAGTTTTCTCTCCCATGGTCACAGTTCTAGTGGGAAATGTTTCTGGATTCTTTGGGTCTCCACGACTTGCTGTTAAAATGGGTTTGGAGAACTTATAGCCCATGGCCCCCTTTAATTGGAGAACCATGTTTCTATCTTCCACCTTTTGTGCAATATCCATAATGGACCCCAGCCCACTGGGTCTGAGTAATCGGACCTTGGCCCGGATTTCTAGATTGAGCCCCTATACAAAGGTGCTTTCCAGTACTTCTTCAGAGATTCTCACGAGTGGAGCTGCTAAAACTTCGAAGGAACGCCGTATTCCGCCATGGTACCCTCTTGTTTCACGGCTAAGAACTTTTCACAAAGGTTGCCGTCTTGCGTCAGCTGAAATCATGGCAATGGTCGCTGACGAAATTGCACCCAGTTCTGGAATGGGTCCCTAGCTTCTGTTCATTGTAGCCAGGATAGAGCATCATCATCATTGACTCACCCCAATTTGCTCCCATCTTTTCTCGATCTGTTAGGCTGTTCACTTCAAGCCCTAAACAGCCATGCGTCGGGTTCTCTCCATTGAATTTGGGTATCTCCAATTTTCTCACGTCGCCAGTTAATGTCTTCCTTGGCCGATTCCAAGTGGGTTGTCCCCCTTCCATAGCTGGCCTTGCCTAACCCCTCAGACCATTTCCATGCTCTTGCTTTCCAGTGTCGTCCCTAGCCCTGAGTGGGTCCTTAGGTGGCGTGGACCGCTCAGTGAGGCTTCCGGCACCGACTTCCTCTCCGGTGTTGTTTACCCCTGCTTAAGGTGGGTCAATGACGCCACCATTTTTTGGGTTGCCTCCATGGTTTACAAAATGCAGACAACATTCAGGGATAAGATCTCCATTGATTTCGCCAACTCCGGTAAGCGCTGCAGTCCAGCCTTCACCTCCTCCATGATTTCCAATCTACCTTCGGTTTTCTTTTAAGCCATCAGGATTCAGGATCAATGCTCTGATACCAAGTTGATGGGATTCCACTAGAAGAAGAATTAAATCTGTTAATGATTGTTGAATGCAATACAGGAAATTGCAAAGAAAACAGTAAATAGACTAGACTTCCTTTCACTTGATATTTGCCTCCCCTAATAGTTATTCCTCTACTGTTTATATAGACCCTTCAACTCAAGTAACCGATTATGTTTAGTCACTTGATTCTGTTACCCTTTTCCCACCATTTGGAGCTGCCACCTTCTTGGGGGGCTTATCACATGCCTTTGCTCACTATACTTGTAGTTAACCAACTTTCACATTTTAAATCAACCAGATTTTTTGCGAACTAGTTATTTGTTTTTCCTCTAAAGTGAGTACATTTTACACGATTATGACTGTATTAAACGAGATATTCTAAGACCAATACATTTTTGTCTTTTCTTTTTTTCCTTGTTCACATGCCATTTCAAAAGTATTTGTTTGTATATTTAACTCCTGTTTAGGGTAGATTAAAATTAGACTTTTAGTAGATTTTGATAAAAGTTGAAGAAATGTGGAGTTGAAAAGTTGTGGATTCTATGAAATGTATTGTTAAAATTAACTGTTGATTTTGACTTGAGATATAAACTGATTAAAATGTACAAAAAATAGGGGCATGGATTTTTTTTTTTGTCCTCAAAAAACTAGTCATTACTGTTTTATGTTGAGCGAACTCTTCTATTTTGCATGTTTAGCATTTCCTTCACAATTCAGGTTGTCTATTATTTACTTCATTGCTTTTAGCATGTTTAGAAATCCTCGAATTGATTTTTTTCCCCTTGTTTTGTGTTGTCTTTATTTTCTTTCTTTTGTTGCAATGTTCTTAGTCTCATCCTCCTAGGTCAAAGTTGCTAGAAGCAAACCATTATTATAATTTGACCATTCAATACTTGGTACACAGACATAGCTTGAGAGAGGTGTTGGACGCTCCAAATGTTATGAATATGATAAAAGATACTAAAGCTGCACAAGAGGTAGTAATGCTCTTAATTCACTTTTTGTGTTGGCTTTGTATACGTTATCTTTGACTTCTTGTTTTCTAATGTATAGGTTCTAGTGTTCTCTATTCGTATAGGACCTCTAAAATTTTTTTTTTTCTTTTTTTCCAATGCAGGTTCGAGCACTTGAGGATTTCTTTACCATGCTTTCAAATGTCAGTTCTACCCTTAATCTGTAATTTCATTTTATTTTCTTTATTTTTGCCAAATCACAATATCTATATACTGAACTGAGGGGGTTCTTGGTTGGGGGACAGACCTCTAGAGTTGGAATGGTTGATTTTGATTCCTTGTGTGTGTTTTTTTTTGCCCTGGGAATCATAGTGACATTCCTCCCGTTCAGCCCTGTTGAATATGATTAAACTTCAGATTTCTGATGTAATCAAGGTTCAAGTTCGAACTTAATTTTAAACTCGAGCCGAACTCAAGTATCTTGACCATTATCGAATGATCTCGACTAGTTTTTTTTCGTTGGTGGAGTTTTCAATTTGACCTTAGTCGGGAGCACTCTACTAGTTCAAGTTAGATGTAGAGAAATGTACTTGACCGCATACAACTATCTCGATTCGGGTCAAGCTTGGTATTCTGCTCACGATCTTGGTGGTTGAGTTAAATAAGAGAGATGCATTCAACCCTAGTCTATGCATGGATAGTGCTCATGGTATGCATTGCCTATAGTATTCAATACCTATAGCTACTATTCACCATTTACACTATAGTGACCAAACTACTCAAACACTATGATACCCCTCTCCACCACTGAATTGCTATTATATTCCACAGAAGCACGTATAGTTAGTTTTATGTGAAGTTGTCCATTGATATTTGGAGAACTAAATTGGATTATATGGAAACTTTTGAATTTAATTTCATTGTAGTTAACATGACATAGGAGCTGCTCTATTTATCAAAAAATGAAACCTAATTCTCTCCTACAATTAAGCTTACAATTAATCCTAGTCAACTACAACTAGATGAAAGCAATATTATGCCCATGTTTCACTCCCTCTTAAGATGGTTCCAAGATATCTATCATTCTCAACTTGCTAACACTTGAGAAAAATAGGTCAAGACATCCTTTGATAAGAACAACTGATAATTGTTCCCCACTAGTAACAAATGGAATACAAATCTGAGCGTTTCTAATATTCTTGATGATGAAGTGTGTCGATTTCAACATGTTTAGTTCCGTCATGCTTATCAGGATTGTGAGCAATGTTGGTTACATCTTTATTATCGCAATAAAGCTTCATTGTTTCTGTCTCAGCTATTTGTAGTTCTTTGAGCAATTTCTTTACCCACATCAACTCAAGTATTTCTTGTGCAATTGCTCTAAACTTAACTACTGGACCTAGTAACCACAGTTGTTTCTTACTTTTCCAAGCAATTAGATTTTGTCCAATAAATTTTTAATATCTGGATGCTAATCTCGTGTCTTCTATCGAGACTATCCTATTGACGTCCGTATAAGGTTCCGCTTGAAGATGATGATTCTTTGAGAAAAGTATGCCTCTTTCGAGTGTTACTTTTAGATATTGTAGGATCTTCAAAGCTGCTTCCATATGAATTTCACAATGAGAGTGCATATAATGACTAATAAAACTTATAACAAGTGCAATATCATGCTAGTGTAAGATACATTTATTAAATTACCAATCAGTCTTTGGTATCATCCTTTATCGACTACAAAACTCTCGACAATAGCTCCTAAGTTATGTTTTGGATCAATTGGAGTGTCTCTAGGTTTGCAGCCCAGTGTAGCTGTTTCCTTGAGATGATCTAGAACATACTTTTTTTGATAGAAATATACCATTTGTAGATCTTGTATCTTGAACCAAATCTCCAACCGACACTGAAAATGCCCTTGTAATGGGGTTCTCCTCTTATGTCTTACCATTTTTGTAGATTTGAGTACATCACGGATGCACTGATCCGTAGATTTAGGTGATCGACTTGTATCTCAATTGCCCACTCCTCTTTTGGTGGCATCATGCTCCTTGATCCTTAGGGGCATCTTGCGACCTCGATACCTAAAAAATATCTCAACCTTTCCAAATCCTTGATCTCAAATTCCTTGTCAAGCATGTTTTTGAGATTTTCAATCTCATCAATATAATTATTTGTAACAATGTCGTCCACATAAACAATTAGAATAATAGCTCTGACCTTAAATGTGCTTAAAGAATAAAGTATGATCCCTTTGGTTTTGAGTATACTCTAACCAATGAATTTCCTTGGTAAACTTCTCAAACCAAGCTCAAGGAGACTGTTTTAGTCTATGCCCCCCGTTTGGCCCCTATTTTGTAGAAATGAAAATGAATAGAATAGTTTTTTTTTGAAAAAATGAGTTATTAAAAAAGAAGGAAAATTTTTCGATTTACTTATAATATTATTTTATGGAAGCTTGTGTGGTTGAAAATAGAAGAGAGAAATGAAATGGGGGCCAAACGGGGGCTATATAAGGTAGGGCTGGGCAAATCTCCCGAACCGAACCGATCGAACCGAACTGAACCGAACCCGACGGTTCTTGTCAAATTAAATACCCGAACGGGTATCTGAATTGAGAACCGACGGGTACGGTTCGGTTCTCGATTCTAGACCAAGAACCGAAGAACCGAATAAGAACTGAATATTTCTAATTTTTTTTATATTGAATAAATCAAATTATTTTAATTTTAATTTTTTCTAAAGAAATTAACAATTTCTAAATCCAAATTTTTGGCCCAATAATTTGTTTCATTTCTAATTTTTTAATTTTTGGCCCAATTACCCCTTCTATTGTCTCATTTCTTAGCCTAACAAAATTCAACCCACTAAATAACCCTAAATATCTACACTAAAGTGTATAACGCTGTCTCGACTCTCGCAGCCTCGCTGACATTCCAAAACATATATAATTGTCGACCGATACTGTGACCTCCGATCGAAGCTGTGACCTCCGCCAACCGAAATTTTGATCGTAGTGATCATTTGAATAAGGTAGTCTACGAGTCTCTGACATTTCAAAACCATTGAATGTGCCATTAGTTGTATTTATATAATGATGTTATAAATGTTAAAAAATTTAATTATAGTACAGAACCGAACGGAACCGAACCCGAACGGTTCCATAATTATATTTGGACCCGACGGTTCCATTTACTAAATACCCGAAAATTTTGGTTCGGTTCGGTTCTCTTTAGAACTGAACCGACCCGTGCCCACCTCTAATATAAGGACTTCTCCAACTTGCCTTTTTTTTTTTTTTTTTTCCTTAGCACATCCTCTAAGTCATGTGGTAACTACATGTATACTTCCCTTATTAAATCCCCATGCAACATTAAGTTGCTCAAGATCCAGTCTAAATTTGCTAATAGAGGTAATGGAACTCAAACTGAAATCATTTTTGCTTTATGAGCAGAAGTTTCCTGATAGTTGGACCTAGTATGCCTATGTGAACCCATTCGCATCAAATCTTATCTTTCAGGTGTCCCATCTATCTCGTGTTTCAACGTGAATACCTATTTACATCCCACTAGCCTTTTTCCTGGTGGAAGGTCAACAAGTACTCATGTATCATTCTTTTTCAAAGTCCTCATTTCCTCATAAATAACCTCTTTCTATTTTGAAACAACAAGAGCTTCTTTTGTAGCATTTGGAATAGTTGACAAGAAGACAGATTTTTTTTGATAGGTAATCATAATTTTATTAATTAAAAGAGATTACACGGGACGTGTACAATCACTTTAAGCAAGAGAGGAACGTTATGAAATTAAGCAACCCTTCTACAGGATTTTTAGCCGCGGCATTAAACCAATTACACAAAGTCAAATAAAATATTTCCCTAATCTGCGCTATTGTCTTTGTTTGATCTTCGAAATAGCGGTTGTTCCTCTCTCTCCAAACACACCATGCAATGCATTCGGGGATAAGGTTCCATACAAGTTTGTTATCCTTATCACGAAATTTTCACCTCCATGCCTGCAATATGTCCTCTATACACCTTGGCAGCACCCAAACCATAGATTGAGAAGCTAGGATATTGTTCCAAAGCCAGCGAACACCATCACAATGAATGAACAAGTGGTCTACCGTGTCATCCCTTTTGTACATATAGCACCACTCGGTTACATAAAAGCCTTTTCGTTGAAGATTATCCATCGTTGACACCTGCCCCCTTACAATCGTCCACAATAAGAATGCTACCCGTGGAGGCAATTTGCTTTGCCACACCAGCTTCCAGGGGAATGAACTCTCCATAGGTCCCAAAAGGGATCTAAAATAAGTGCGGATAGAAAAGATACCATCTCGTGCCAACTTCCACCTGCTACAATCATTCTCTCCTACTCGAGTCTGTAGCTTATGTAGAGATGTCAAAAACAACGAATAAGCATCCAACTCCCAATCCTGTAGGCCTCTCTCAAAAGTAATATTCCAGTTGTAATTCCCATTATGAATGGCTAATACATCACTCACCATAGCAGAAGGCACTAAAGAAATGCGGTGCAAAGAAGGAAATCCTAATTTTAGCGGTTGATTACCATACCAACAATCATCCCAAAATCTGATATCATTATTATTCCCTACCACAAAATTTAATTTGTCTTGAAAATCACTCCATCCTCGTCGAATATACTTCCACAAACTCACCCCATAGGAACCGCAACCCTCAACAGTACACCAACCCCCCTCACAAGAAGACAGATTAACAATAAATGCTTTGAAAGAGGAAGATAACCTTTTGATAGGAGATACAGTTTGAAATAAGATGCATTGCACAAGATTAATACCTTTCTATGAGCAATTAGAACATCAAGATCAGAAATATCAGTCAAGTCTAGACTCTTGGAAAGATTAGAAACTGATGAATTACTGTTGTTTTCCAAAGTATCTGCGCTTGTTTCAGATGATTGGTGATGTTTCGGAAAAATGTGTATTTTTCTTTCTTGAATAAACTTTTAGTTCTGTCTCTATCTTGAACACATTCAAGTGGGGCTTGGGGAAAAAGAGATGGAGGAGTTAGGGAACTGGAGATGATGACTCAGAATTCATGGGAGGAATTATAAAAATGACAGAAATGACTGTGTAAAACATGAGAAGGGGACTTAGGGATAGTAGGATAAGTAGACCAGAGCGAATATTCTATTCAGCTACTCTTCCCCGAAAGAGGAGTTTTGGTGAAAATAGTATTCTAGAAAAAGGTAACATGGATAAAATTGTTTTCCTTGTTGGAGGATAATAGCACCCGAAACCTTTTTTATTAGGAGAATATCCTAAGAAAACGCATTAAAGAGCCCTTGGATCTAGTTTTTCCCTATTATGGTTGTGAATGTGAAACAAATGCTCACAACCACAACCCATAGTGAAATAGAAGAAAAAATGTGTGATGATGTATATGTCTTTGAGAGTGTCAAGTTGTGTTTTGAAATCCAAGACCCCTGGTGGCATCGTATTGATAAGGTAGGTAACGGTAAGAATAGCTTCCCTACAAAATGTTTAGAAACTGCCATGGTAAACATAAGAGATCTAGCCACTTCAAGAAGATGTCTGTTTTTCCTCTCTTAGCTATTCCATTTTGTTTTAGTGTATCTACACGAGCTATGGTGTACAATCCTATGATCACTTAGATACGAACCTAGAATCAAGGAATAGTACTCTCTCCCATTATGTGTTTAAAGAGTTTGAAGATTGGTTTTAAATTGATTCTTAATCATATGGTAAAAATTTTGAAAAGTTTTGCAGCTTCAGTTTTTTTATGAGCTAATAGACCAAACTCACACGAGCATGATAATGAACCACCCAGCATCAGATATGCTGTGGACATGTGAAGGCCCCCCAAATATCACTACGTATTTAGGAAAAAGGTTGTAACCTTTTATATATCTGTGTTGGAAAATGAGCCCGATGATGTTTGGATAGTTAAACATACTTTACATTGAAAATCATGGTTATTCTTATTCTTTAATAGAGTAGGAAACAATCTTTTTAAATAAGGAAAGTTTGGGTGACCTAATCTTTTATGCCAAAGTTGATTTTTAGTATTTTAAGTTGACTGAAAAGAACTAAGTGAAGTGTGTATAAGATGGATTACCTAAACCTAGGTTCACCCTCAAGTTAATAAAGTCCATCAATCTCCTTTCCTGTATTCAAGTCCTGAAATTCACAGTAATTAGGAAAAACTTGGGGACACAATTAAGACTTTTGGTTATTTTACTAATTGAATGAAGATTACATTACAATTTGTAGAGCATATGGAGTGGTGTCTAATGAAAGATATTTTGAATTAGGAATATACAATTGTTTTGGAATAGATGACAACGAACCATTTGTAACTTTGACTTTCTGTCCGCCGGAAAACGGAGTGGTGGAATTAAACAAATTTGAATGGCTAATCATGTGATTTATGGGATCCAGAATCAATGACCCTAGAATTACTCGAAATGCTGGTGACACTCAAACAAGTTGAGCAAATGAACAATTGACTTGCTGAAACTGATAATAGGGTTATTCGAATTGAGCATGGCAAACGAGAACTCAACTGCATTGAAATTATTCGAATTGAGCATGAAAGAGGCAAGGGATGATCGAAACCAATGTAAAATGCCAAGAATAGAAAGAAGAAACCAGCATTGAATTGGTATAAATCTGCCAAAAACAATTGAACCTGGTTGAGAAAAATCTGAACCAGCATTATATGCATTTTAACTGGGCTGAAAATAGGCTGAACCAGATGAACAACTGCTGAACTGGCATGAAGGATAAACTGCTTTGAAAAAGGATGAACTGCTCTGAAAATAGGCTGACTGCTCTGAGAATGTAAGACCGTACAGTCTTAAACTTCTTTTCAGCAATTAAGAACACAAAGAACAGAATTCCGGCATAATCAGCCAGTAAGAAGACTGAAATTCTGGCAATTTTAGGCGGAAAACAAATTAGCAGGAAACCTGCTCTATCACCATGTGGAACTTTCTGAATTTTATTTCATTGTAGTAAAAGTACGAAGGTGCTGCTCTATTAATACAAAAAATTTAGCCTAATTCTCTCCTACGATTCACATATTATATAGTCTATCTTGATATATCTCACTAAAATAGTTGTGTTTTATTTTGTTTTATTCCCAACTCACCCAGATCAATATTCATGGATATATATCTTGGATTTTAAAATGGATTGTTGATGAATTAACATACCCATTTGACACCAAGAAATATTTTTTTAGTTTGCATTCATGCCTATGAACATGTATGTTTGGCATGGAGGTGAACCAGTTCTTCATTATTGAATTTACTTTGGTTTGATTTTTCCAAGATGATGTAATTGTATAGAATCCTGATCGTGCATGCTATGGACCAAAGCACGTTGAAGTTGCCCATGAGCGGATGGCTATCCAGACACTTCTCATTACTGATGAGCTATTCAGGTAGGCAGTCTTACTGCATGTTTGGTAAATATTAATTTGGCTTATTTTTCTTCCTTAATATTGTCCAGTAGTCTCAAATCTACCTTACCAAAAATTCCCTTGAGTTTATTGTGTTGGCTATACCATTTTTCATCTTCTCAAGTCATTATTCATCAAGTTGTTTTATACATCTGATGTCGTGCCGAAGTTCGGAGTTCTATTTTCACTTGTGTGTGGTACACACGTTTAGAAGTAATGGCACGAACAATTGCGATAAATCATTTTCTTTTGGCACAATCAAGAGAGATGTTGATATCACGCTTCCTATTTGTTTATCAGGAGTTCAGATATAGCAACAAGGCAAAAGTATGTCAACTTGGTCGATTCGGTCAAGAATTCAGGCGGCACTGCTCACATCTTCTCATCCATGCATGTTTCAGGAGAACGTGAGTATTTTTGTACTCTTTTCATCTCTACAACTTAAAAACCTTTATGGCTGACTTGTATCCTCAACTTATGGCAATTTATGAATCTGTGTGTCTGTAAAGGGTTTTTCATTCATAAATTTATAGAATTGGTTTCAAAAAATCATGCTAAAACACATTTTCATTTTTTCCGTATTTGTTTCCTTTCTTTGATACGTGCATGCATATTTATTTGTGCTTATGGAATAATTTTTACGTGGAAGAACAGAACTGGCTCAGTTGACTGGTATTGCTGCAATTCTTCGTTTTCCTCTTCCTGATCTGGAAGACATAGAAATGTAAAAGAATTTCAGACTGAAGCTTATTAAAGTAGGTTTTTCCTCTCGATGTCGTGTTTCGTTAGTTAATTTAATTTATGATTATAAGTGTAAGGCAGTAAGCAATTGAGTCACCATGTATTATAAATAGATAGTATGGTGTATTTTAGAGACCACAGGTCATTGTTCATCATCTCCACCGTTGATATTAGTGGTATGCGTTGAATAAACTGCCATAGTTTCCAATTTATCATACTTTTGAACTCTGAAGGAAATAAAAGATGAAAGGTAGGCGCGTTTATTCTTTCATTGAATGGCTTTGGTGCTGAAAACAAACACGATGTTTTTTCATTTCACTTGTTGGCGCTCGTGCTTGTGATTATAACATAATCGACTTGGCGGTCCCATAATGCCATGATGCCGCAAACCACTCGGGTATATTTGGTACTCTATACTAGATACTTGACAATCCAATGGACTACCTTGCTTTTTTCTTTTTTTTGTAATATTGTCCAGTCACCATACCAGGCATGCTATCCTGGATTAGGGCCTTGTGCAATTGCTGCATGCACCTAATATATCCTATAATTTATTAAATCAGTCGTTTAGGCCAGAATTTGCTGAGTTCGATTGGTGTTCTGGGAATGCTCGACTTATCCTATGTTAAAGGGCATGATAAATACTTCTGAAGTCTAGAACTTTGCAAGAATTTGCTGGGTTCGATTGGTATTCTGGGAAAGCTCGACTTATACGTGGAGCCCCTGCTGAATAAACATTGTGCTTTGGTAGTGTTTCTTTCCTACTAGCTTTGGATTACAATCTTGGCCTCGTAAGTGCTACTACATCGCTATGAGCTTCATGGACCATGCTGGGTTTCTATGATATATAAAAATTGTCACGTTTAAATTTAGACAGAATAATATTGGACGATATTAAGAATAGTAATAGAAATTTTTTGTCTTGGCTATTATAACATACTGAAAATATCATTCAACTCAACTGAGTTACTTTAGATTTTTGATGATTCGACAAAAATAATATTTCTTCTTATCGAAAAATTAATTTGTTTTAACACATGAACAACTATAAGGGGAAAGAAGCCTTGTGGATGCTTAAATTTGAACCAGGCGACACATAAAGAGTAATAGAAATGGCAAATTTCTCATGTTACATTAGATCTGGCTGTGTCATTGATAGAGTGATTAGATCCACCATTTCTTCAAATTCCCCTGATTCAAAGTTGTGTTGCAATTAATGCAGACTAGTGCATGGTCAACTCATTAATGGGTTTGAACCAATATATTCAATGTGCTCAACTAATTTCTGTTATTTTAATTAAAATATGTTGGTAATTTTAACTTTTAAATAAAAATATGTTCTTGCAATGCCGGGAATTCTCTTGTTATACAAGTTACTTGGAGACGATGAAAAATATGAATAAAAACTATTATATCTCATGTATAATGATGCATGCTTATATTTTTAATTCTTTTACTTCATAATTTTTCACCTCTAATAAAAAACCCGCTTTACAAATGTTAAACCTAGAACAAAATGGATTTTGTATCATGATGAAACACTCGAATATTGTCTCGCGGCTTTGTTTATCGAGCTAACATTGGCATGGTAGGTAGAAATTGAAGAAGGCAAGCACATGGTAGGAATTTTGTTCAACGAATATCTTAAACTTAATGACAAGTAGAAGTACAATGGAGCAGGTTAAAATAAATGTTACGCTTCTTTTTTTTCTCTCCCCCCCCCCCCCCCCCCCCCCCCCCCCACGGGGCATTTTCCCACCTCATACTTGCCTTCGTCACCCATTTAAGGTAGGGTTGGACAAGGTAGGTCGGGGTGGGACGGGTCGAGGTGGTTGCCCTGTTTACGTACCGATTTAATTTATTTTTATTTTTTTAAAGTTTTTGATAATTCATTTTAATGTCCCTATTCATTCAAGTGAGACAATAATATATTTATTAAATTTTTTAATTTTTAAAAGTTAAATTATTCAAATATATTTGGTAAACTAAGATTTTTATTGTTTATCGTATTCTTTAAATAATCTTAGTTACCATTTTCTATTAGAATTAATGAAATTTCGTGAAGTTTTTCTATTAGGACTTGTTTAAACCTCATTATTTCCTAATAATGCATTTTAGAATAATAGATTGATGAAGAATGCGTGGTTAAAAAATAAGAAAAAAATTTAGATTTACGTATAATATTATTTTGAATTAAACTATTTGTACACAAAGATTTACACAATCTTTTACACACACAACACGTGGCGGCCCCCTACCCACCAGCCGCCCCTCCAATAGGGGGCCGCCACGTGTTGTGTGTGTAAAAGATTGTGTAAATTCTATGTAGGAATTAAAAATTTTATAAAGCACTCCTTACTGCAAATTCACTGCATTATAATTTTTGTTGATTGAATCTGTTCAAATTCAACTCTTTTACTACCACTGTTCCCACCTCCATGGCCGTTCACACCGTGCCCCTATATCTAAGAAGGTTTTAGTTATTCCTAGGAAAATATTCTTTTGCTTCTAAGTGTATATTAATATGTGCTTATTTCAATTTTTTTTTTGTTTCCTGTTGTTTTCATAATTTTTGGTTGCAGTAATTACAAATTATTTTAATTTAGATTTATTTTGGGTGTATGAAGTTTTATTTGGTGTTTGCGGCTTCACATTCGTTTTCTATTTTATGTTAGGCTTAATTTCTTGATTTCAAATAATTATAGATGTGTTTTAACTCTAATTGGTTTGAAGCTAATTGAAAATATGGGATTTTTTTTAACCATTGAGTGCATTCTAGAACTTTGTTTTGTTTGGCCATTCATTGGCATGAAATTGACTATAATTTCTTATTTTTCTCGAAGGGATCAAATGAATTTCATTTTTTTGAAGCATAGTTTCTTATTTTTTGGGGGAGTTGGTTTTTATACTAGATATTATAGCTTAGTATACACATTATATTTGCTTTGTTTAAGCTATAGTCACTTGTTAATTGCTTCTTAATTTTTCATGGTCTATGATAGGGTGTTACAAAAGAAAGAAACTTAGGAATGAGTGAAAATGATTCAAAGAATAACTTAGGAATGATGAGTATATGTTATTCATCGTAAAGAACAATTTGCAGTCTGGTTCTTTACATTAAATATGTATGTTTGTGGTGCCTTCTCCTATAGCCAACTAAATTCTTTGCGAGGCAATGACACTAACCATCAATCTTGTTTTTATTTTTCTTAAATTTTCAGATGAAAGTGGATTCAGACTATGTTTGGTCTTCTCTCATCCCGAAAACCACGTGGTAGTAGTTTTTGAAGCTATATGACATTCTAGGTTCTTCGATTTCTGTTGGAGATTCAAAATATAATCAATTATGTTTGCCTTTCATCTAGTAATACTACTTTGGAAAGAGTTTGTTCAACAAATTTGATGGGTAGAAAATTGGTTAGTTCAGTTATTTTGTGGAGGCTAGATGTAGCTTAAGATTCATCCATGTTAAGTTTTCAACTATCAGTTTCACATATTGTACAAATTAATATTTGGTTTGTGTTGTATTGTTATCAGGAAGTTTTATACATTAAGTTTTAGAGGTATAGTTTTGTTTTCTTGATGTAATTTTGTTTTTGAGAACTTGAAGATTGAGATGAGATGTCAATAAATGAAAATGTGCATAGAGGGGACTTGGGAATAACTATTTTCTACCTCGAGATTTAAAATGAATTTTGAGAAAAATGTAGCGGATGTTCCCTACGTATTTTATGTGTCGTATCTTTGTTTTCAACGTTTTAAAATGAAAATTTTTTATTCAAACCATGATTCTGAATGATGGTTTTGATTCAAATGATCGTTAAAATTACTTGAGTCATACAAGATATGGGGAAAGAAATGAGAGTATAAAAATGTTGAAAAATTGATGTCTTTTTCTTGTATGAAAGTGGTGAGCAAAGTTTGGCTAATGTGTTCTAGAACGAAACGAGTCAATTTTGACCATTGAGGCTTTACATTGAGAGAATTTAGGGAAACGAGTTGAATTTTAATTATTTTATATTTAGAACCTTGCTCAATCAAAAGTTGTTACTTAGAGGTTGATACATTGACAAGCAATTCAGTATATTTATACTAGTAATGAAATTGATTCGAACTTTATTAAATTCATCAATGCAAGATAGTTGAACTATTTAAAACGGCACATAGCTGTTTAAAAAGACTTTATGCCGTATTGGGTTCTAGAGTCTCTATTTCACTCAAAAAACTAGTCGATTATATTTTGGAACATCTTATAAGACCTGTACAAGTTAAACGAGTAGATTTGTTGAATATCTTATCTCATAATTAAAATATAATGGAATTTACTTCCTTTTGTTCGTAGTTAAGTCTAATTCAGTTTACTCACGAAACAATGTATTGTCATTATCACTTGAACTTTATACCGATAATCAAGTCCAAATATAATGAAAACTTCCATTCGTTCATTTTCATGTGTATCCAAGTGAAAATAAAGTGAAGTAGATACGAAATTAGTTGAAATGATACTCAATCATTTAAAATGACACCATGACATTTTGGATTATTGGGTCTTGATTTCACTCCAGAGCGAGTGATCATATCTTAGAACATCATATAAGACTTATACAAGTCAAATGATCTAATTTGTTGAGTATTTTATATCATAATTGAAATTCGAATTATCTGCCTTTGTTCATAGTGACATCTAGTATAGTTTACTGACAAAACATTATTGTTAGTCTCTATCAGGTGAACATTTATATTGACCTTAATATTCAAATGTAGTAAAAACTTGGATTCATTCACAAGGATGCGATTGAACATAAAGTGAAACGAACACAAAAATAGTTGAAATGACACCTAACATTTTCATTGACAAGATGTTATTTTCGGGTCACGGGGCCTTGATTTCAGTACAAAAAGAATCGATTAGACTTGGAACGTCATAAAAGACTTGTACAAGTTAAATGCAGTAATTTATTTAATATTTTATCTCATAATTAGAATATAATGGAATTTACATACCTTCGTTCGTAGTTAAGTCCAATTCAGTTTACTCATGGAACAATAGTGTTGATCATTATCATGTGAACTTTATATCGTTACTCGGGTCTAAATGTAATGAAAACTTCCATTCGTTCATTTTACGTGTATACGAGTGAAAATAAAGTGACACGAATATGAAATTAGTTGAAATGATACCCAATCATTTAAAATGACAGCATGACATTTTTTATTATGAGGTCTCAATTTCATTGTAAATGTAGTGAAAAAATTGTCTATATTGGTTACAACATCACCAAACCGTTTATAACGACATCATGCCATTTTCTATCGAGACACTCAATTTCACTCAAAATATAGTTAAAACTTGTTTTCATTAATTTTTATGTGGATACGAGTAAATATAAAGTGATACAAACATGAAATTAGTTAAAACGGCGTTCAGCCATTTAAAAAGGCAACATGCCATTTTGCTGTTTGTTTTAAATTGTGTATGAAAAGTTAGAATGAAAGTGGAGATTTATGTTTGGGAGATTTGGTAAATTTTTGTTTCAAATTGGATATTTTAGATATTTCAAATAAAGGGTTTTTAAGACTTTTAACACATTATGAAGTAGACTAAAGGCTAATTAACCAAAAAGTATTGACATAGCCTATTTTACCAAATATTATTGTTGACTAGGCTTTTTAAACAAATCCCCCATAAAAAAAAGACTATAAATGTTGAAAAATTAATCGTCAACCACACATTTAAACCATATATTCGAAACCTTAAGCCTGAAACCCTAAACGATAACCATACGTTTAAAACGATCAGATGCCATTTTGGGTCACGAGATATCGATTTCACTTCGAAACTAGTAAAATAGTGTTTGAGACATTATACATGTCTTGTACACATTGTATGGCTGCACATGCTATGTTTTGCATACCATACTTGCGACTTACGTTTTTCTTTATTGTCAAGTGTAGTGTAGTATAATTTCTAATCGATTATAGAGTGACTCACTATAGTTTGAACCAATGTGTCGACAAAATGTAGTTAAAACTTTCATCCCTAAACTTTTAAGTAGTTACGAGCATGAATAAACCAAAACGAACACGAAATGAGTAGAAACGTGGCTCATATGTTTAAAATGACCAGACGTCTTTTTGAGTCACGAGGTATCGATTTCACTCCAAAACTAGTAAAACAATGTTTGAAATATCATACATGACTTGTACACATTGAACGACTGCACGTGCTATGTGTTGCATACTACATTGTTACTTACGTTTTTCTTCATTGTCAAGCATCATATAGTGTAGTTTCCAAATGGATTATAGAGCGACTTGCTATAGTCTAAATCAATGTGTTGACGGTAACGTTGAAATATTGTTGAAACTTTCATCCTTAAACTTTGAAGTGGTTATGGATGTGAATAATCTAAAAGAAAGATTTTTTAAAGCTAAACGAACTAATTTATTAAGTATTTTAACACATAATAAAATATAACGAAATTGGAGTTCCTTATCTTCGTTCGCAGTAAAGTCTAGTGTAATTTTCTTATGAAACAATATTGTTGGTCACTATTGTGTGAACTTTATATCGATACTCAGGTCCAAATGTAATGAAAACTTCCATTCGCTCATTGCCATGTGCATACGAGTGAAAATAAAGTGAAGCGGATATCAAATTAGTTGACACAACACCCAATCATTTAAAACGAAAGCGTTTTAGATTACGGATTCTCGATATCCAAATATAGTAAAAAATTGCATTCATTCATTTTATATGGATACGAGTGAACATAAAGTGAGATGAATACAAAACTAATTGAAACAACGCCTAATCTTTTCATTGATATCATGTTGTTTTGGGTCATGGGCCTTAATTTTAAAACAAGTTGATAATACTTGGAACATTTTAGACGATTTATACAAGTTAAACGAGCCAACTTTATGGAACAATAGAATATAATATGGTTTACTCATGGAACAATAGTGTTGGTCATTATCGCGTGAACTTTATACCGATACTTGGGACAAATATAATGAAAACTTTCATTCGTTCATTTTCATGTGCATACAAGTGAAAATAGAGTGAAGCGAATACGAAATTAGTAGAAACGACACCCAATTATTTAAAACGACATCATGATATTTTGGTCTCGATTTTACTCCAAAATGAATCGATCATGTCTTGTAACATCATATAAGATTTGCACAATTTAAACGAACTAATTTATGGAGTATTTTATCTCATAATTGGAATTTAAATTATTTAGCCTTTTAAAGATATCATGTTATTCTAGATGACGGAGCCTTGATATCACTACAAAACAAGTCAATTAGACTTGGAACATTTTAAAAGACTTGTACAAGTTAGACGAGGTAATTTATTGAATATCTTATCTCATAATTAGGATTTAATCGAAATTAACTGACTTACGTTCGTAGTTATATCTTATTCAGTTTATTCACAGAACAATAGTATTGATCATTATCCTGTGAACTTTATATCGTTACTCGGGTCCAAATGTAATGAAAACTTCCACTCGTTCATTGTCATATGTATACGAGTGAAAATAAAGTGATGCAAATACGAAATTAGTTGAAACGACACCCAATTATTTAAAACGGCAGCATGGCATTTTGGACTATGGGATCTCGATTTTACTATAAATTAGTGAAAAATTGTTTACTTTAGTTAAAACGTCATCAAATAGTTTATAATGACAGTATGTCGTTTTGGATCACGGATACTCAATAGCACTCGAAATATAATTAAAAGTTGTTTTAATTAATTTTTATGTGGATACAAAGAAATATAAAGTGATACAAACATGAAATTAGTTAAAACGGCATTCAATCGTTTAAAAGTCAGTATGCCATTTTCCCCGTTGGTTTTAAATTGTGTACGAAAAATTAGAATGAAAATGGGCATTTAAGCTTGAGGGATTTGGTAAATTTTTGTTTCAGATTGGATATTTTAGATATTTCAAATGAAAGGTGTTTAAAACTTTTAATACATAATAAAAATAGATTAAAGGCTAGTTAACCAAAAAATATTGACCATAGCCTATTTTACCAAACATTATTATTGACTAGGCTTTTTAAACAAATCCCACAAATTCAGAATAATAATAGGAAACTTATTTCTTGTCTTAATTTCTATCGCTTGCATTACATCCCGATATGGAAGATACGAAAAGCCCTACCAATACCATAACCCTAAATTAATTGTAAAGCAATTATAATTAACAAATACATGTTTGTTTGGTATTGCTTTTAAATTTTTATAAACAAAATGAATCTTTTAAAATTAGTCAATAAAAAGTGAGAAGTAAATTGTAAAACCTAAAATAAAAAGGTATATATAATTTGAACTCTATAACAGGAGCGGACCCACATGGGGTCATGTGGGGTCAAATAATCTCACAGATTTTTGGATTTTTTTTTTCCATTGCTTAAAATGTAATTTTCTATCAAAGTAGCGAGTCAATCCAATTAATTTCCCTATCCCAATGCCCAAAAAGTCCAAACCCAAATTTTATTGTAGTAGCATATAGTCTTATTTTCGTGAATGATACGTTTTTCAAAAGAAAAATTCATTTTTGACCCCATAGTCCAAACTCTCTTAAGTACGCTCCTTCTCTACGATATCCCCAACGTTTGAATTCTCGAAGCTAGAGACTTGATGTTGAAACATCCGACAAAAACGCGTTTTCTATTCGAGTCTAAATTTTACAGCAAACAACTTCTTCCTATCCATGCAGATAATTACACATATAAATGCAGATAATTACTCGATTTGCTTGATTAATTTAATACTAATTTAATATTTAATAGGGACCAACTCAGGAGTGTGACCAGTTCTCATCAAGGATCTCAATTTCTTCTTCTTTTGCAGTGTATAGCAGCCTCTTCATATTCTTTGACCCTTCTTCTAAAGTAGAATTTTGCTTTGAGATCTTAAAGCTTGTAACTTTCTTCTTGGCCCTTTTCGTCTGTTTATTTCTGTTTACCTTATTATTAATTTTGCCAGTTCATGTTCAATCTATGCATACTTTTCGCCTTTGACTTCTTTAACTTGACATTCTTTCAATTTTTTCTGCTTTCTTGATTGCTCATGTGAATTGTAGTTGAAAGTAGAAGTATTTGTACTCTAATATGATTAGTTGATTTGAAAATCGGTGAAAATCACTTGGAACTATTGATGTGTTTGTGGGTATTTATGTTTGTTGTAGTTGGTTTTCTGTGTTAATTACAAGGTTCAGTACTGAATTTATTCTTGGCGATTTGAGGTGGAAAAGAAAAATTTTGACTTTTGAAGGTGATAGTCTTTTGGGAACGATCTTAGGATTGGATCTTCGTTACTTATAAAGCAATATTTAGTGGTAGAGTTAATTCTTAATGCTGCAAATTAAGGGGTTGTGGGAGAATTGATTGAGTTTGGGACTAGATGGGTAACACTTGTGTTGGACCAAGCATATCGAAAAATGCTATTTTTGAATCAATTTCAGCTGCCATGTGGGGATCGCGAATGCCTGATAATAACGATCCTTCCGTAGATGGTAAGAGTGCTAAAAACGAGACACCGACGTCTGTTGGAGAACCAGAGTCACCTATGCCAGTCCAAAACACACCACCGGAACGAGTGACAATTCCAAAGCCGGAAACTAATCAAGAAGAGCCGGTTAAACCTAGAAAGCCTCCTCATATGAAGAGGAGTAACAGTGCAGGGCTTAGGGCTGATTCTGTTTTGCAAAGGAAAACTGGAAATTTGAAGGAGTTTTTTAGATTGGGGAAGAAATTAGGACAAGGGCAGTTTGGAACAACATTCCTTTGTGTGGAAAAAGAGACCGGCAAAGAATACGCTTGCAAATCTATTGCCAAGAGGAAGTTATTGTCTGATGATGATGTTGAGGATGTTAGAAGGGAGATTCAGATAATGCACCATCTAGCCGGGCATCCTAATGTTATATCTATTAAAGGGGCATATGAGGATGCTGTTGCCATTCATGTTGTTATGGAGTTATGTGCAGGTGGCGAGCTTTTTGATAGAATCATTCAACGAGGACATTATACTGAAAGGAAGGCAGCTGAGCTTACTAGGACTATAGTTGGAGTTGTAGAAGCTTGTCATTCTTTGGGCGTTATGCATCGTGACCTTAAGCCCGAAAATTTCCTTTTTGTTGATAAGAAGGAGGAATCACTCCTCAAGACAATTGATTTTGGATTGTCGATATTCTTCAAGCCAGGTAAAAAATTCTAATCTGTTTGTATTTTTCATGTGTCACATTAATCCTTATTCACACTCTAGAAAAGTTTGCTGTTTGATCTGTGATTGAAAGAGCATGTAAATATTTTTTTATAGTACAAGTGTCTTTCAATACAAGCAACTTACTTACTTAGAAGTAAGAGAAAAGTAAAATATCCAAACATATGTGGAAGCAAAGGTAATTTTTTACCTTTACCTTTAAGCTCAGCCAAACATGCTTTTAGGATGAAATTTGATTAACAGGACTACCATGGTGACTGATCCCTGTGTGTTAAAAGCTTTTTCATTTGTTAAACAACTGGATCCTCCGGTTCTTTGTAATGAGTTTCAAGATATGGATGGACCTGCCCTCTTTAATGAAACCTAAATAATAATGATTCATTCTGAATTGAATTTGTTTCCTTCATTGAACCGTCATCTTGGTATTTGCTTGAGCAAAGCATCCAGATTTTTTAATCTATTAACTGTATGTGTTTTCTTGATATCATTATCATTTTCCATTATGTAATATTTCTTCACATGGTTCAAATCATATTGAAATAGAATAGAATTAATAGGCCATTCTCCATATGGTTTTTTATGTTATCATTAATAGTTGGTTCATTAGAACTTATATTATAGCTGCCTGAATTTTATTTCTATTTTTATTTGCGGCATTTATTTGTTGTTTCTGGTATCTATTAGATAGTCATTAATGGGGGCCAAACGGGGGCTAAGTTTCTATTTGGTTTGACTCTCGTGGGAGGAGATTGAAAATTTTGCCCTATCCCTTGGGACACCCCCCCCCCCCAAAAAAAAAAAAAAGAGGAAGAAAAATGCCAAAATAGTTGAACTGCCAATTATATTCTACATCACTCAAATTTTTTTTCTTGCACGTGTATAGCAGGGTGCAAGACAATAACTACGTTATAATACATTAAGCTGAATGGATTAACTAGAAAGCATTTATCATATTACTATGCTATTTAGACTGTCTTATCATATCAAAACTGTGAACCTTTCTGTTATAGTGTATTTTACGTAGGATACAAAGGACAAAGAAAGGGACTTGTAGAAGATGGGGAAAGAAAGGGGAAGAGAGGGAGAAAGAGAAGAAGATGGAGATAGAAAGGGGAGAAGTAAGACAGAGGAGCAGAGAGAGAAGAGAGAATTATAAGAGGGCGAAATTATTTGTTTATTCAATAATCAAGTGTAATTATTACAATGCAAAGACCATCTTTATAGGGTTTAAACTAATCTAGTTTAATTAGGAAATAACTAATAAAATAATAGAAAAAAGTATTAAATAAATCCCTAATTGATTTTCCTAAAATGTATCTAACTTGGATAGTCTTCCATATAATATATCTAATAGTATTCCCATCAGTATTTCTTGGTTGTACAAACCCTTTCCGTGTTCGACTATATTACTCTTGGCATGAATTGATCAACTAAAGTGGTCGGATCTTGTTAAAACCCTGCTAGTTCCAAAGACTAGTCTTTTGGCTTTTTAACCTGTTATCCTGTCAATTGGCTCTATTATATATCGACTACCAAAGTTCTAATCACAAACAAAAGCAAATAACCATTTTAAAATTGATGATATATCCAGTTTAGAGCCTTTTTTGAAACCTGATGAAATTAGCTTTGGAATACGACAACTAACTGCTAAATGTTGCTGCTCAACATTATACTGCAACTGGTTACTATACACACAAAATCACAAAACTACCCAAACATCTGATACAAGTATATTTAACTCACCCTTAAAAACTGACTTGTAAAAAGAATGCCCGTTTAGGTAAATATCTAATAGGTAAGTAAGCTCCTTTAATACTAGTAGGCTGAAAGCTTTAGTCAGAGGAAAAAGCCAAACAACCCGCGCTGTTGACACTCTGGGTGACCGCACCCTCATAGGGCCGACGTGGGTCCCCCATGAGTAAAATAATCTCAACCCCCCATATGTGTGTATTATGTCAACCATGCGGTCATCCACGCGGGCTATGTAGCTCGATCCTTTTTCAAAAAAGGAAGTCAGGTCAGAAGTAAGCTCTCGTCCTGTAGCTGCTGCTTATATCTCCTCTATGGTGGGAGGTTTCTTTCGTATCAGTAACAAGAGATTATTGGAATGAGAGAACAAGAGATGGATAGGGGGAATGGCCACAAGGGCTCTCCATCCCTTAGTGGCATCAAAACTGGCATGCTTTCTATGGACTATGAGCAATGTAGGACGAACAAGCAATCACTACATTCACCGCTCTCCAAAACAAACATTGCAGCTCATTTTCTCCGGCTGGGTAGCTTCATAGAACCAATCTTCAACCAAAAGTAGCCCTTTCTAGATCATCGCGTCCTCAACGAGGGTCCTCCTAGAAGGGGTGTTTGCTCAGACGCCACTCTAACAAGCACATTGGGTAGAACCACCGTTATTAGCATTGGCCTGTAATGGGAAGGTGCCCAAATTGCTCATAAGCTCACAAGATAGAAGTTCCATGATAAATTTTGACGACATTTCGTTATCCGAGGTGTCAACTTGCGACATGACCACCTTTTGTGTGTTGGATTCTGCTCAACTTGGCAAAGTATTAGAAAGTCAACCAAGTTATGGACTTCAAATTGAGGGCCTTTTCTGGGTTCAGGCAAATTATAGTCCGTTTCAGGAACATGAACTGAATACAAGTATGGTTTGGCTGACAGAATTGTATTAACATCAATATATGTCATAAGAACAGCGGTTAAATCTGCAAGTTTTTTACTACAACCATTGTACAAATATAAATGCATTCAGTTTTTACATTCACATTCTCATCCGTTCTCAAGATCGCTTATGAATTATTTGTTTAGATTAATGCTTTAAGATATTGATTCATGTTGATGAAATATATTCAAATACTTTGCATCATTGAATTAGAAATTGATACAACTTTTTTGTTTAACGTGTTGCATGATTTTTTCCTTTGGTTTATTTTCTTATCTGACGATGGACATGTATTAATCAATTTTCAGGAGAAAAATTTACTGATGTGGTGGGCAGTCCATATTATGTTGCACCAGAAGTTCTTAAAAAGCACTATGGAGTTGAGGCCGATGTTTGGAGTGCTGGAGTAATTGTTTATATTTTGCTCAGTGGAGTTCCTCCTTTCTGGGCCGGTGAGAATTGTGAAAGTTTCTATTCACTAAATATGTCAGCGTCATGTCTACCTCTGACTATTAGTGCATGTTTTATATACTGTATTAAACCGTTCAAGATAGTAGTACGAACAGGATTTTAGCCTCTTTTCCTTTATTAATATTATCTAGTACTATTCAACACCTGACCGAACAATACATTAATGTCATAATCTGTACTGATATGAGTGAAGCCTCTCTATTCTTTAATGACTATAGAAAATGAGCAAGGAATATTTGAACAAGTCCTACATGGCGAACTTGACTTCGCATCGGATCCCTGGCCTAGTGTATCAGAAGAGGCAAAAGATTTGGTTAGGAGAATGCTTGTTCGAGACCCCAAAAGGCGTTTAACTGCATATGAAGTCCTGTGTAAGTATCTGTGATGGAATTATTTTAAATTAGTTTATATATTATGATATGGAGAGTTGTGGTGCAAAAACTTTGGCTAAATAAGTTAGTACTCTATTCTTGTTTTGAGATCCCTATTCCAAGTCTAAATTCTGAAATGTGCAATCTATGCTAATAATTGTCTTGATGCGTTTTTTGTTCCCTGAGGCCTTCCTTGCGTGAAGGTCATAGTGTCAATAATCTATTGTAGTGGCAAACAATATTTAGTTACATTTTTGCTCTCCCAATGCTTAAACATTCTGCAGGCCACCCTTGGGTTCAAGTTGATGGTGTGGCTCCTGACAGGCCTCTGGACTCTGCAGTTTTGAGTCGCATGAAACAATTTTCAGCGATGAACAGACTTAAGAAAATGGCTCTTAGAGTAAGTATTGGGGTTTTAAATCTATATTGTTTAAAGTTGCTGCTATTGGAGAAGTATAGATCTTACAAAGATATTAAGTTATATATTTTCAAATTCATCTATAATGAAATGGAGCACTTAATATATTAGATATACATACTTTGCAGGTAATTGCAGAGTCTTTATCAGAAGAAGAAATTGCTGGCCTGAAAGAAATGTTCAAGATGATAGACACTGATAACAGCGGCCATATAACTTTTGAAGAACTCAAAGTGGGACTAAAGAGAGTTGGTGCCAATCTGAACGAGTCTGAGATTTATGATCTAATGCAAGCAGTAAGTACACGATCAAATGTATAGCTTTTGTCCTTTGTAACTGCTTGCCCAAATTTTCGTACCACTTAAGAGCATCTTCAAGAGACTCTAAATACAAGATGCTCTCTTTTTAAAGAGTCGGTGCTTAAAAATAACCTCCTAGTGATTCTATTTTATTTTTATTTTTTAAATAGAGAGTAAGTTTGGCTTTACAGGTTTCAGTACTCTACTTAAAATATTCAAATCATATTTGATTTGATTGGCCATTGATCTATAAAAAAAATATGTTAAATAAAAGATGAGGAGAAATCAATAAGGGTGTGTTCTTTTTCCCATTTTCGAACCGTTTTCGGTTTTCGATTTTTCAAAACGGTGAAAACTTGTTTTCTTACCCGTTTTCAAAAACACAAAAAAATTTTGTGAAGAAAACGAAAAACGACCAAAGTGTCGTTTTGGCTATTTTCTGTACAAAACTCCAAAAAATTACAAAACACGGGAAACGCCTTTTGAAACACAAAACCAAATCTTCATCCACTTTCTTCAAATCCATTCTCAGCCTTCTCTCTCTCCTGGACGCCGGCTGTGGGTGATCGACGCCGGCTATGGATGGTCGCACACTTCAGTCGGCGACGAAGGAGATGTGCTGGTGTCGACACCAGTGTGGGGATGCGATGCTGCTATGAACGCAGCGTTGCGACCTATTCATCGCGACCTAGGGGAGGCGATGCTGCTGTGGTTTGGGGCCTTCTCGTCGGTGGTCGAAGAGAGAGAAGCTGCAGTTCATCGCGATGGGTGTTCTACACCGCAAATATGTCCAGAATATGCCTTCTCTCTCTTTTGGGGTTTTTTTATTTTTGTTTTTGTTTTTTGGATTTGGGAGGCGATGGGTGTTGATGGTGGTTGTAATGGTCTGTTTATGGTGGTAGTGGTTGATGGTGGTGGTGGGTGGTGTTGATTTTGGCAGTGGTGAGTTGTGAGTGGTGGTGACAGTGGTGTTGATGGTGGTGGTAGTGGTGTTGATTTTAGTCGATGGTAGTGGTGGTAGTTGTCTGTGCCAGCGGTGGTTGATGGTGGACTCGGTGGAAAACACTTTTTCCAAAATTTCAAAGAATTTCATGGTGAACACGTTTTCTATTTTTCTGTTTTCAAAAACGTTTCTCAAAATGTCAAATAGAACGTAGTTTCAACAATTTCAAAATACACACTCAAAATACAAAACTCAAAATGAATTCAAAACTCAAAATTATAAAACTAAAACACGAAGAGAACACATCCTAAATATTTCTTGAAGTAAAATGAAGAGCTAAAATAGAGATTATTTTTGGAATGTATAAAAAATTTTACTATCTAAATTTAAAGATGCTCTTTATAAATAGAGTCTCTTGTGTTCTAAGAAATATGTTATACTGCATTTGACTTAAATAGTAGCAACAACAAGCCATGTCAATTTTCATCTACCCCTTCCTCTTTTCTGTTTTACTCTACCAAAATCGAGTCGCTTTTATGAACAAGAGCCTCGTTTAAATGTCAAACATGAACCAACCACCTATTTAGCCCTTAAACTTAATTTATCGTTGATTGGCACCACCCCCACTTGGTTAGTGTATATTCTCAGCTCGTCATCTTTATTTTGTGTGACTATACACATCCATCTTATATTCCTCATTTCTCCTACTTTCCCTCTCTGGATATTCTGTCCTTTAATGACCGAACAGTCAGAACCATGAAGCATAGCCGGTCTAATCACTATTCTATAGAACTTGCTTTTAACTCTAGTGAAATGTTCCATTACATGGAAGTAACAATTTCTGTTTCATCCAACTTGCTCTTATCCCGTGCATAACATTCTCTTCGTAAATGTTTCTTTTATTTCGTTGACCACTGTAGAAGAGGATACTATATGTTCGTTTTCTTCTCCAATTCTCTGTAATTGCAGGCTGATGTTGATAACAGTGGGAGCATTGATTACGGGGAGTTTGTAGCTGCCACATTGCATCTCAACAAAATTGAGAGAGAGGATCATTTATTTGCTGCATTCTCATACTTCGATAAAGATGGAAGTGGCTATATTACCCCAGACGAGCTGCAACAAGCATGTGAGGAGTTTGGCATGGAGGATTCACGCATTGAAGAGATGATCCGAGAAGTTGACCAGGACAATGTAAGTTCATCCTGTTGCAATATTTTGATGTTTTATGATTTAATAACAAGATAGAAAGGGCATCGAGTTCTAAGCCCTGAGTATCTTTGTATGATATGACGATGTGCCTAATAGCTAACAATAATGGAGGAAAAATTCTACTATGCTTTTGGACAATTTATCTTTGTTGTAGTTTTTCTTTATGAATGGATCATGTGTACTTTAATGTTTAGAACACATGACAAGGTTCTTTTGGTTTCTTTTGCAGGATGGACGTATTGATTACAATGAGTTTGTTTTCATGATGCAAAAAGGGATTCCAATTGCTGGTGGTGGTAAGCGAGGCCTAGAGACTAGTTTAAGCATAAATTTCAAAGATGTGCTTAAACTTTAACACAGGCTTTCAAGAGGTTTTTTTTTTTTCCTTATTCTTTTCATTTTCTTTTTCTTCCTCGTTCTACTCAAGAGTTTATGATGTTAGAATGGTATAGTAAGAAGTCCTTGTGGTTAATTCTTGCATTGCAAAATCCACTTTTCATTTGTTTTTCTTGCTGTTGTAATGTGAAGACGGCACAAAACTAATTTTTGCTGTTAAATTCACTTCTTGGTGTGGGAGCAGTTAAAGTTATGATGTAGCGTGTCAGCCTTCACGGTTCGAGGAAGATCGAAGAATAGATTATCACTTGAAGGGCCTTTAACACATTTGAGGCTTTTTAGTTACACAACCACTTTGAGAGTTGACAACTAAATTTTTTCAACAATCTCCACATAATCTACCATTGAGAATCTCTTAAGACCTTTGGTGTAAAAGTCGAGCAGTGAAGATATATTCACCTTAATATTTGAAAGTAGGCTAAGTGGTTTTCAATGCTGAATACAAACATGCCGTGCGAGTATGACACATACATTTTTTATAAGCACATCAAATTCATGTCGAGTAAGAAGCCCAAAATAAATTTTTGCAATGTGTTTATCCATGAACACATGAAAGATTTCATGGCTTTACTATGACAAAAAACTGCAGTCCATATCAAAAACACATCAGCTGGAAGAAACAAAGATTTAGGTTTTAAGGGATTTACACCACTACGGTAGTTTCAGACGAGAAAGAACCACGAGTCAAGGTAGAAAAGACGGTATAATTTACATAAGAAACTACAAGTCTGAAAGAGGACTTCAAACCAAAAATCGACATTACTTTGACAGTGTATAGGTCCGAACTGTGGGTTCCAGCAAGTATCTTCGCGACTCTAAGTGCCAATTCTGAATTTGTAAGAAATAAAATCCCTAATAAGAACGACCACTGGAATTGCCGTAAACTCGACCCTGAGGATATGGAACCCGTCCTTCAGTTCCTTGGTTTCCTCCCACACTGAGAAATGGTGATTGGCCATAAGTATTAATATGATCCCTGTGATCAGTTGGGTATGGTTGTGGAGGGACAGCCGGAACATAACCCTGAGGGTTGTTTGGGCCGGTTCTGGCCTGGAGGTGGTTCGTTCCAGCTTGCTGATACTGTTGTAGTCTTGCCTCTGATTCCCTGCGAAGAAACTCCTCTCTTCGATTAGCTTGTTGTGCTCGAAGAACTGATAATTTCTCCTGGTACTTGTTATTGATCTCCATTATCTTCTGAAGAAGGTAAGACATTGTAATGTTGGTAAGATGAAATAAAAATTAATGTACTTCATGATAGAAAAATATTTCAGAAACCTTTGTTTTACATTTTAAGTTAATTTAGTGCAGACTGCAGAAAAATATATTTTCTTGGTACGGGTGGTCAATAAAGCTGGTTAATGCGAGTTTATTACTAAGAAGCGGTCAATGAGAGATTGAGCGAACATGTGGCATTTATAAACTTCATAGAAAGTGAGAGGTTAAAGAGATCACGCTTAGGTGCTCCCACTTAATTAACGTGTCACATATAAACATTGCATTGTTACATTTTTGCCTATCATGCAGTCATTAGCCGAGAAAAGCAGATTTTAAACTACAGAAACATATTCAGTTCATCTTTGCTAGAACAAATCAAAATAGCTTTCCAGAAAATATTCTCATATAGCAGAATAATAAGTAAGAATTATTATGGGAGAGAGAGGAGGGCAGGGTATATAAACTTACATGAATTTATAAATTTGTGCAACAATATCAGGGATTTGGATTATGGCTTTTTAATTAATTTTTCGATTTTTCAACAATTAGATATTTTGTTATTTAACTGGAGATTATATCCACATTCCTACTGTGTAAGGTGATGAATTGGTGATTAAGATAGAATCGAGTTCTCGTCATTAAGGAAGTGATACCATAGAATTTATTTTCTCTGTCCTACACGAATTATAAGTCTTAATGTCGAGAAAGGAAATACGAAATGTAAATCAACCATAGGAAAGGAAATGAGAAGCTCTTAACAAAATTATGATGATGTTTACACCTGAGTTCCTAAAATATACCTCTCTGTGCCTAGCATTTTCTGCGTTTTCTGCATCAATTTGTTCCTTTATTAGCTTCAAGATTTCTTCTTGGAATCTCTTCTCGAGACCTTCAAAATTCAAATGAAAAGGATTGTCTTCATAACCGATTTCCATGTCTACCTCATGGGCCTGCTGTCCAATCTCTGTATTGGCATGGTTTCCAAAATCACTATTTGAATCCATTACCGGTCTCTGGTGATAAGACTGGATGGAATTGCCTCCTTTTCCTGTTTGGTCATGACAAAAAAACAGATGGTTGTAACCTAAGGCTAATACAGAACATCCACTGCAACTTTCATCAAATTATTCACTTTCATACTGAGCTTCACTCAACTTTCAAAGTCATATAAAGCATGTAAATCTGCCTTTGCCACTCCTTGTTACTTCTGAAGAACCTCCAAATTCTACAGAGATAGTGCATGCCACGTTATATATACACACACATGAATAACTTGACTTAAAACCATCAAATCATAATCATTTGTAAACTGCAGATTCATACAACCTAAATAAACCAACATCTCTAAATTAAGAAATGACATTTCTGCCTAATAAGCACAAAAATAAATATGAAATTTCTTAAGCGTAAACAATATGCAACATGAAATAGTATACACTTAGCAAGGAAACAGTATATCAAAAGTTAAAAGCCGTGATAAACCAGAGGACAAAGAGGAGTATAAAATATTACTTGGGTCAGTGTGTGGATGAATCTGCATCTGTTTTGAATTTGACACTTTTGGTGCATCTCTATCCCACTGAGATGGAACACTAGAACTATTTCCTTGCTCTGCCGGTAAAGAATCAAGACGTCCTGCCGGTCCTGGAAAATTACTCATTGCAGCATTGTGTTGAAATCTCTGTGCAGCTATCTGCTGCATCTGAGACGGAACACCAGAATTATTTGCTTGCTCTGCAGGTAAAGAGTTAAGTCGCCCTGGAAAATTACTCATTGCAGCATTCTGCTGAATTCTCTGTGCAGATATCTGCTGCATCTGCATTTTAGAAGCAGCATATGGATTGGCACTAGCATCAGCATACGAAGCCTGCCTATTCATCACTGCTGTTTAATGGGATACTAAATTTTTTACTTAACCTAACAACAAAAGAACCAAGGTAATAACAAAATCAGATATTCAATAATAGGTGAGTATATGAATTATATCAAAAGCATACACTTTAACAAGGATAATGTATGTAAAATCTATCTTTTCTTATTCTTTCCTTCAGTTCTAGAAGGGGCTCTGATGGTTAGAGAGAGTCATAAAAAATAATCACTATCCTGAATAAAAGCTTCAAGCTGGAACAGAAGGCATTAGAAACTCAAAAACATTTCGAAATCACGGAAAATAATTATTGCACTCTCTTTATTTAAACACGCAGATCTCTCTTAAGGAAGCAAAACACCAAAGAAGTTTTATTCCTGAATACATGTACCTATATACATATTCATACCTGCTGATGAAGAAAGGGATCAACATCTTAGGTCATCAAGGCTACATTGAAACCATAGAAAGTTCACTTAAAAACTAAGCTGAACCTATATACAGGGTGAACACGACAAAACATAAAACAACAGTCAAGATACAGGTTCATGCTGATCCATTTGAGGTCCAAAACGAATGCCAAAAGTATGTAATTACATATCCAGAGTCCATGCCATGGGTTTCTCAAAAAGTCCCCTAATTTGAATCCTAACTCATACATAACCCTCATTTCGTTTCTTGTACAGCTCTTCCTCTCCTCCCTACTCGACTCATCATCTACATCACTAACTTCAGACCTCAACATCTCAGACTCTTAATCACCCTCAGAGCTTTGCTGCTTCTTGTGGCGTTTGTCATTTTTCAGACTAGCCTTTTGCAGTTTTAGCTTCATATGCAGCCTTTTCAGCTTCAGTCACCGATTTCCACTTCTTTGCCTCTCGCCAGCTTTCCCAGCAGCAACAGCCTTGACATAAAGATTTCCCTTTTAAGAGTCTTCCCATCATTGGATTCAACTCTTGTTTTCTTTCCTTTCTGACATCCCTTTAACCCTTGCTGCCTCTCTTCATTTCCACACACAAAAATCCTCTTTTATCTACACGGAATTATAACTACTCCCAACCCCCAACCCCACTTCTCACGCATATACACATCCGGCTGAGAAAATCAACGAGTAGGCATTCAGTCAAGAATAATTCTTGAATTGAAAATCTTGATAACCCCAAATCCGAAAAATGAAAAAAAATGCTGATCTGATTGAATCGAATAATAGTTAATTTAAGAACTAACTACAGTAAGATAAACAATCAGAAATGAAAGAATTCACAAATATAAATATACTCACTTGTTGTTTCCGGAAATTTACTTCGGGGGATTTACTGATTTGATTTGATTGTTTGCTGCTTGCTATTAAGCGAATTGATCTGTTTAAGGACAGAGCCCCGCTCTCGGGTATTGAAAGATAGACCAGCAGTGCAGTTGTGTGAATAATTTTTAGCATCCCAATTATTGCAGGAATAAAATTTGGATGGAAGGAAAATTAGGAAATTAAATTGTCTAAAAATTAATTTTTTTGAGAATTATAAATTTCTTTTACAATTATTTATAGAATTTAGTTCCATTGTCAAAAAAACAAAAACAAAAAAAGGAAAAAAAATTACATCAGAGCCTGGAAAATGAATTCCCATTTTCCTCAAAAATCAAGAAATGGGACGCGTCAATTACAACCCAAGAAAATGTTTTTCCTATAAAATTTAGGAAATCAAACATGCAAAAGTTGAAAAATAGGGATCAAATTCCATTTTCAATGGAAAAGCACAACCAATCAAACAGGGCCAATGTTTTTTTATAAATAAATTTATATCTATCGAGAAATAGAATCTCTAAATATTTATTTTATTATTTCATTACAAGTCAATGAAATTCTTGGTTAGGCATTTTTAAGTAATTGACTATCTGGCTCCTGTTTGTTATCATTTTTAAATTCATTTTTAATTATATATTTATATAATAAAATATTTTGTACATAAATTTAATTTTTTTCTACTTTTTAACTACACATTCTATAAAAAATCACTATTTCAACTCTTTTTTTTCTTTTTTTTTCTTCAAAAACATTCATTTTAATGAATGTCAAACAGGGGCTTAATCTTGCTGCCGTCATTATTATATTCATGACAATAAACCTCAATATTTTTCAGATTCATAATTAAAACTTAAAATAATCATTTTATTGTTGCTTCAAAGTTGTTGTGTGTAATTTTGAAATGAATTTTTTTACCTGTCAAAGTTTTAGAGATTTTAAGTGATTTGATCAATTTTTTTTTTTACAGGTTTTGGAAGCGAGCACAACTAAAACCTACAATACTTCACAATTTCTACCGTCACAAATATACTACAATCAATAGTAGCTTAAAATTCAAATTTTAATTTAAGTCGAAGTTAACAATTGATTTTGATCATATATTTCATGAGATTTACAACTTTTCATTTATACATTTCTTCAATTTTTATCTAAATCTATTAAAAATTTGATTTTAATCTCCATAAAAAGGGGGCTTATAGTAGTCGTGATTGATGTCACATGATACTTAATGTGACAATACGTTTTATATAGCATGTCACATACAACCACTTAATTTGACATCAATTATCTCACTAATATGAGGTGATCGAGTCTTTTAAGGGTAAATTGTAATTAGACACTGTTACAATATGAAAATAAACAGAACAATAAGCCCATGTTCGACAAATATTATTTGAAAACACTTTTTTCTTTATACCTATTTTTAATTACGCATTCATACAATAAAATATTTTACATGTAAATTCAAAATTTTTCTTTACTTTTTAACCATACATTCTCTTATAAATTGCTATTCAAAATATTATTTTTTGAAAATAATGGCCATAAAAAAGGGACTAAATATAGATATTTAATCTCACCTCTCTCTCTCTCTCTCTCTCTACATGTTGCCATTCCTAGACCCTGTAAATGTGAAAAGTAGAACTGAACAAAACTCCCAAATGAAACTGATCGAACTAAACCTGAATGGAATCGAGCGATTCTTCTTAATTAAATAGCCAAACAGGTATCTAAATCGAGAATCAACCGGTTCGATTCGATTCTCGATTTTAGATCAAGAACTGAATAAAAATCAAATCTCTCCAATTTTTTAATTTATTTATTTTAAAAAAAATCAAATTATTTTATTTTTCTCCTAAATAAATTTACTAACTAGTTAACTTAACTCAAACCCAAAAATATGATTTTCTAATTTCTAATTTTCAGTCCAAACCCAACTTAATCACATTGACCTAATTTTTACCCAAATATGTTATTATACTGTAATACCATTTCTCTCATTTTAAAGAAATCGAATTGAAACTCGACAGCGTCTCTTTTAATTATTGTGAGCACACTATCTTTATTTTCCTGTGATTTTAACAATCAAATTTATGGAGAACTCAAAAAAGAGAGACGCAAAAGACACATGAGATTATCGACTACGTTATTTTATAAGAGTTAAGATTAAACATGTCATTAGTTGAATTAATATAGTTTTGCAAATATTAAAAAAAATTAATTACATTACGGAACCAGGGAACCAAATTGAATCGAACCGAATCAAATCAAATCCGAATGATTCCATAATTAAATTTGTACCCAACGGTTCCACTTACTAAATACTCGAAAAATTAAGATACTGTTCAATTCTTGTTAAAATCGAATCGAGTAGGATCATGCCTAACCCTAATAAAAATAGATACTCTCTTTCTTAAGAGTTTGAGAATAAAATGTCTAAATTAGGTGCTAAACTGAAACTCTATTTAAAAAATAAAAATAAAAAATATATAGAGTCCAATTTAGGGCTATTTCCGTCTATTGAATAATGCGACTGTGCAGTATTTTACTTGTTGGGCTCATTATTTGAGCAGCAAGTCCATCAATATAAATCCACGGTGGATGCTTCAGAGCGTTCTTTTCCCATTTTTAAACTAAAATCCTCAGAAATTTAGATCACAAAGTGTTCTGTTAAAAGATTCTAACTTACCATTCCCACTCCCATCAACGCTTAATATCGATAAGAATAATTCAAAGGACATTATCTCAGGTATAATTTATGGACGTATTATCCATGACTAAATGAAAAGGATTGGTAAATAACCGAAATAACTTAATTACAATTTTAAAATTTCTATTGTTATATCCAGTGTTTTAAAAAGCGTAAAGTGTGACAAAACGTGAAGTCGAAATTTCAAGCATTACAAGTTTAAGTGAGCCTAGGCGGGGATTAGGCGTAAAAAAACGTTTTCTTATTTATAATATTATTTTAAAATTTTAACTATTTTAAAAAAAATATTTAAAAATTAAAATAATACATGTTAAACATCTAAAATTATAAAATATAATATTTACTTAATAACTCTTACCATTAGTCAATAATACAATTTTTAAGTTTTAGAAATGCAAAAAATTAGAATATTTTTTACAATTTCAATTTTCAACCAGACAAGTGATAATGAGCCTCAAGATCATAATTACATAATGTAGATAACACCAAAACTTATATCTTATTGAACCGTGCTGCTCTACTAGGCCTATAAAAGACATGGTAGAACACTTCATCTCACATTTGAGGGGTCAAGTGGGTATTTTGGGAGTATTTTTTTAACAATAGGGTACCCATTGAGGTGAGAAAATGTGAGAGGAGGGCCTCTTACAGGCCTGGGCGAGGAGCTTAATTGAATCTTATTTAACTATCTAGATAAAGTCATTTTTTACTTTTTTATGGATAAAGTATTTTAAAAACTTGAAATTAAAGTCAAATGAAATTTTTTTAACAAATAATAATAATAATAATAATAATGAGCTAAAATCAAATAAAAAGACTTACAAAAAATATTAAAAAAACTAATAAAGCGCGTCTACGGAAAACGGAAGATATGAAGGAAAAAATTCTGCTATTTAAGAATTGGAAAAAAAAAAAAAAAGAAGAAGCTTCCAAACGTGAATTGAAGCATTTTGCCTGAGTTTCGAGTCTATGCGAGCCTTTTAGAATACTGGTTATATTCGCCAATATCGCCTAAACGAGTTTTTTAAAATACTGGTTATATCCGCTTTATCTTATGCTGATTGCTATTTTATATTATAATTATTCTTATATTACCACCGATCATGACACTTCACTAGGCTTTTTTTTGCTATATCATTAAATTTTACAAGTCTTTACAATTTTAACTAAATTCTATAAGCAAATAACTTTTGCTTCTTCCATCAAAATACTACAATATTTGTTTACTAGATTTTACATAATGTGAAAGTTGAATGAATTTAATAATTAACACACCATCAAGATTATATTAAAAAGTCAACTAAATAATTATTTTCTTAAAGAGTCAAACTTTTTCATTCACACACAAGAAATGAGTGAGAATAATGGGCCACGGATGGTCCATAGCATGCAACAAGTCTTACCATGTTTTAAACCACGCATTTTGGCTTTGCGCCCAAAATAAAAATGATAGCAAAGCAAAAAGAAGCTTTTGCAAATGCTAAATGGAATAGTCAATTTTTGACTCACAAAAGCCTATTGTATTAATGGTCGCTCATTGTTTGGGCCACATAACCAATCATGTGGTGCTGTGTTAAAGATCGATAGCTATAACGACTGTGTGGATAATCTCGACCATACTCATAATATGTGAATCAGGGCCGGTCCTGTGATAATGGAGGCCCGAGGCGAGGTCCGTAAATTGGGCCCCCGGACGAAATCAACGTAAAAATTTACGTAAAAATCTAATAACATTTTCAATTATGTACGCAAAAATTTGAGCATTACAAGTTTACGAAAACAATACAAAATTACAATAACATCCAAAATCCAAAACTATCCCAAAAAAAAAAAAAAAAAATTGAAGCAAAATTGGGCCCCCTAAGGGTTTTGGGCCTGAGACTGAGGCCTCAAATGCCTCAGCCCAGGACCGGCCCTGATGTGAATCTATGAATAAATTTTGGTGTTGATATTATAAATTTCAAATGAATAAAAAAAAATTAATGTTTCTTTCTTTGTGTTGCATTGTACATCATTTTATGTGCTCGGTTGTCTAATCTTAGAAGAAGTTCGTGATTTCATAGGAGTCTAAATACCATGGATTTAAGTGAAACTGTTCTTTTATACATAAAAATAAAACTTTGCGTGTCAGGTCTTTGATATATGAAACAAAATTAATCTTTTTGCAACGTTTTAGGTGACTAAATTCATTATGTTGTAAAAAACTAATTTTTTTTATATAAGGTAGATTTTTAATTGCAATTTTACGGGAGGTGACTATTAATAAGAATTACATTATTAGTTCGTGAATAAAATGGTATTGCAAATAAAGTTTTTTGTGGAGTTTCATAATTTAAGGGCCTGTTCTGTGGTGATTATAAAAATTGATTTTTTGACCATTAGATAGAAAAGTGAGTCTCATTAG